ATTATTTCAAAATATTCACAAAGTTATCGAATACCAATAAATGTATATTGAAATATATCAGTTAAATGTGATAAATACAATAAAAATATAAGGACGTTACTTTATACGGCTACTTGTGCGTGCTCGATTGTTATTGGTCAGGTAATTCCACAATTATAGAAGTGTTAGTGTTACAAATGTAGTAATTGTCCGTAGAGTAGCATATGCATATGACTGCAGTCTATTAAGTAGATAATATATGTATTAGACTCCAGATCGCATTCTAGTGGGAAATTGAGAACACGAGATATGTATATAAAGTGTATTTGATAGTACGCGGCAGTGGGTGCCGTGCTATGTGTACAGTGAACGGAAAATGGAAGCAATAAGTTTGTCATGCCATCTCCACATAGCTCCCCTCTAGATTGTCCGGAGGTAACACTGGTTATATTACAAAAAAATATATGAGAGTACAGTGTGTGCATTTATGTAGAATAATAATTAGAAAGGCAATGCAGGAAAGTGGAGAATGGTATGTCATGTACATTAATACTATACGATGCATTAATGTAAAAAAACTAGTGTGAATGTTGTATGACATGCCAAAAATAAGGAAAATATAGTCATACAATGTTTTGGTTGGTTGATGAAAATAACAACGTGCAAAGCCATTGATAAACATACACGGAAATTGAATTGCTTATTTTCATGTAAAAAAATATTGTTTGTTTTGTTTTTTAAAAAAAAATAGAATTAACTCGTTAATTGTAGTGTAAAAAAAATAATGTGACAATACGAGCTATTGCGAAAAATGTGGTTTATTATATGCACGTGTTAGAAGACCAAAAGGGTATAATAGTTTTTATTTCGGAGAGTGAGAGGTTTTAACAATATAACCTACACTAACAGTAATTTGTTGAATGCCGTTTTCTTTTTATTCAGCGAAATGTACATAGCGTTTAGGTTTATTCATGGCTCTGCCGGAACGTGTTAAGCAAGTAGGCTTAACGGTCGGTTTTTGCACCTCCACTGCTTTCTTGGTGCTTTGCAGGTTTTGTTTATCAGTAGTGTTATCTTCTTTGTCAGGTTGAATCTCGTAGAAGGCTGGTTTCCTTCTTTCCACCTTTGTTGATTATGAAATGTTTATTGGTTCGTTTAATCACCGGGTATGGTCCATCGTAAGGTTGTTTCAATGGCTTTTTAACCTCATCGACGCAAACGAAAACATTTTTGCACGTCATCAGGTTTTTGTGAAGATGTATGCGGTTATTATGCTCCTGCGGCGGTATGGCTTTTATGCTCTGCATAGTTTGGAGCAGTCGACTAGCGAATCGGCCTGGGTCACTTGGTGCCAATGTGTCCGTGTCTACCAATTGGCCTGGCAATGTAAGTGTTGTGCCGTAGACCAGCTCAGCAGAAGTACATTCGATGTCCCCCTTGATGGTTGAGCGAATTCCCAGGAGTACGAGCGGTAATGCATCGCTCCATTTCATCGTGTCAGCTTGTGCCATCAGTGAGCTTTTTAATTGGTGGTGAAATCTTTCCACCAAACCATTTGCTACTGGATGATAAGCTGTGGTTTTGATGTGGTTTACTCCCAGTAGTTTAGCGAATTCCTGGAATAGGACGGATTGGAAGTGGGGACCACGGTCTGTAGTAATAATTGAGGGAACTCCGTAATTTGATATCCATCGATCAAGGAAAACTGCTGCTACAGTTTCTGCCGAGGTATCTGCTATCGACCATCGGGTGAATCTGTCAACCGCGGTGAGGATATGAGTGAAAGAGTTGAATGGTGTCAATGGACCAACGATGTCTAAATGTATTTGTTGAAAGCGTTTGTCAGGAAGCGGGAATTTACCAACAGCACTTAATGTGTGTCTTTATACCTTACTACGTTGGCACTGTAAGCAGCTTCTGGTCCAAAGTTTTACATCCGAGTTAATTTTAGGCCAAACGAAGCGTTCCGTGATCACTTTAGTGGTGGCTCAGATTCCCGGATGTGAAAGTTCGTGTCAGTGTCGAAATACTTGTCGTCGACAGGATTGTGGTACAAAGCGACGCAGATTACCAGTTGAGACGTCGCAGATTATCGATGCGTTGGATAAAGGGGTATGTACCGGCTTGAGGATCAAGTTAGACTTTTCTTTGCAGGCTTCCAGCCCTGCATCGTCTACTTGAAGTTTTGCAAGTGTTTCAAGATTGATATCCTGTTTGCGTACCAAAGTGTCGATATCCCTGCGCGACAAGGCATCGGCGACGACGCTGCTATGTCCTTTGATATACTGGATGTCTGTGGTAAACTGAGAAATACAATCAAGTTGTCTGGCTTCCCGAGGTGAATGTCGATCATATGATACGTTTAATGAGTAGCTTAGAGGCTTGTGGTCAGTCATTATAGTAAACGGACGTCCTTGTAATGAAAAACTGAAGCGTTTGAACGCAAGGTAGATAGCGAGTAGTTCACGTCCAAAGGTGCTGTAACGTTCTTGTGCCTGTGATAATCGTTTAGAAAAGAACGCTATGGGCGTGATGACGTCGTTTACCTGTTGTTGTAGCACTGCCCCGACAGCTTTCTGAGACGCGTCTGTGCATAGAATAAGATTTGTCGAGGGGTCAGTGTTGAGGTGCTGTAGCATAGTGGCGTTGGATATGAGAGACTTTGCTTTCTCGAATGCAGTCTTAGCGGCGGTTGGTGAGTTGAATATATCATTTTTAGTTTTCTTCATCTCTTGGTTATCAGCTTTAACAGGTCAGTTAAAGGTTGTAAGGTTTCTGCGCAGTGTGGTAGGAATCGTCAGTAGAAATTACACATTCCAAGGAAACGGCGTAATGACATTATTGAGGTAGGCTCAGGATAGTTGATGATCGTGTCAGCTTTCTCCTGTAATGGTCTTATGCCTTGTGAGTCTATGTAATGTCCTAGAAACTCTAAAGCAGGAGCGCCAAAGATGCACTTGGAAGGGTTAATGACAACTCCATACTGTTGGAAACGATCGAAGAGGGTTTGTAGATGCTGGACATGGTCTTCGATCGATGCGCTAGCTATAAGGACAGCATCGATGTAGACGAAAACAAAGTTGAGGCCTCTGGTTACCTCATCCATAAATCGTTGAAACGTTTGGACTGAGTTTTTTAACCCGAATGGCACTCTCAAAAACTCAAACAAACCAAAAGGTGTGATAGTGGCTGTTTTTCCGAAATATTCTGGTGCCACCGGGATTCGGTGATATGTCCTTACCAGGTCAAGTTTTGAAAAGAAATGTTTTCCGTGTAAGTTAAGTGAAAAATCGTGAAGATGAGGAATGGGGTATCTGTCTGGTGTCGTTTGATTATTCAAACGTCGATAATCGCCACATTGACGCTAGTCCTGATCTTTCTTTGGTACCATGTGTAGTGGCGAAGCCCATGGGCTGTTTGATTGATGGATGATACACAGGTGCATCATGTGCTCAAATTCATTTTTCGCGATTTGAAGTTTATGTGTGGGTAGTCTCTTTGCTTTGGGTCAGACGGGTGGACCCGTAGTAGTAATGTGATGTAGTACGTGATATACAGTGCCTTGCTTCCGGTAATCAACCTTGGTGATGTCGTCGCATTTAGCTAAGAGATCGGCGAAAGTTTGACTAATGGGCTTAGTTATACGTACTCCATGGATTTCGTAGATGTTGCTAGTTATGCCGTTCACATGTAGACGTGTCTGGTTGTCGACTAATCGTTTGCCACGCACGTCTACTAGCAGATTATAAGCAGTGAGGAAATCTGCTCTAAGGATCGGCCGTTTGACTTGTTCTACTACAAAGACCCATGTGAAACGTCGTCTGAGACCAAGGTCAAGTATTAGGGACTGTTCGCCATAAGTTTGGATGATGGTTTCGTTCGCTGCCTGAAGTGTTATCTTGCTGTCAGTGATGTGTTGCCGGCGGGAGAGCTGGAGAGGGATGATGCTTATTTCGGCTCCTGTATCGACTAAGAAGTCTGAGCCCGAAATCCTGTCCCTGATGTGAAAAAGACGGCTTGCAGCATGGCCAGAAGCAGTCGCCGACATCACTGTCTGGCAGGCCAATTTCCCTGGGTTTCTTGACTATTTGCAGGGAAGGTGTACGGTTTTGTGCTTTCTCCCCATACTTCTGGTGGTACCGACAAACACCAGTTGACCTTTTTGGAGACTTATAGCGGTGTCGAGAGCATGACCTTCTTCTAGAGAAAGATGCAGTTGGTTTAGTGCTGATCATGGCTACCGAGGCCCGTCAGTTGCATTATCTGTTGTTGAAGATTAAGAACGGTACAAATATTATCTAGGCTAGTGGTTTGTACGGAATTAACTGCATGGCTATCTGGAGAAAAATTCATTGTCAGTAGTTTGGTGCAAGTAAAACCGTATGAGATGGGAACAAAACGTAAAAGCCGGAAATGTTAATAAAAAATTATAGTACCAGAACAAATAGCATAAACACGGGCTCACCAAAATAATTGTGTTGGACCAATCAATATATTATTTCAAAATATTCACAAAGTTATCGAATACCAATAAATGTATATTGAAATATATCAGTTAAATGTGATAAATACAATAAAAATATAAGGACGTTACTTTATACGGCTACTTGTGCGTGCTCGATTGTTATTGGTCAGGTAATTCCACAATTATAGAAGTGTTAGTGTTACAAATGTAGTAATTGTCCGTAGAGTAGCATATGCATATGACTGCAGTCTATTAAGTAGATAATATATGTATTAGACTCCAGATCGCATTCTAGTGGGAAATTGAGAACACGAGATATGTATATAAAGTGTATTTGATAGTACGCGGCAGTGGGTGCCGTGCTATGTGTACAGTGAACGGAAAATGGAAGCAATAAGTTTGTCATGCAGTCTCCACAGAGTCACCAACTCTTTTAACCTGTAGCTCGATGACGTGGTTTCAACATCCTCTAATGAGTGATTCAGCAGAAGACTGGAAACACTCAGAAACTTACTAAAAAGGACAAACATAGTGCATTCAATACACCAATAACAATCTGTGATGACCTTGTGACGGTCCAATTGTTAGGCGCCCAACTGAGATTTGCAATGGTTTGTGTCTTCGATTTTTTTTATTAGTTTCTAGTTACCTGTAACACTCCTCAAGGCTGCAACCAATCTTCCTATGGTAATTTAATTCTCATCCATCTAAATGTTTTAGCTTGTTGAGTTGAAAAGTGGCGAAACATATAACGGCCACCTTGTTGCCTGTGATGACTGGATGAACATTCATCTCAAGGAAGTTATTTGTACATCTCGAGTAACTCTTATTCATATGTTGTGCTTACATCTTATAGGATGGTGATCGCTTTTGGAAAATGCCGGAGTGTTATATTCGCGGAAGCATAATAAAGTACTTACGGATACCAGACGACGTAATTGATAAGGTTAAAGAAGACTTGCAGTTAGCTAAAATGCGTAATCGCTCTCAGTCTGCGGATACTGGACGTGGAGGTTTTCATAGAAATAAATCTAAAGGTAAGATGACTTTATTATAGCATGATTTCGGTTGATCAAATCCTCCTTTTTAGCACGAATATTCGTGTATTTCCTTCCGTACTTGTGTTCTTGTTTACTAGTAGCTTACAGACTCTTTGTGTTTTACCTCTCTGAAAGTTGTCCGTTTTGCTATCTCTGACTTGCATCATATCATTGGCACGAGTGAATCGAAAACATTTTTCTGTTTGGATAAATTATTGGTGGACATATCTGTATAAATGTTACTGAACTACTGAACAAAATTTTCACTATTAGGCTACACAGAAAATAAGTTGTGAAATTGTTTTAGTTTCTCTAGAGGTGTCCGCTGGGCCTTTGGTTTATTTTTTCTGCTAACTTCACTTTTTCAGAGTAGAAATTCAATAGCGGCTTCTGGTTAGTAATCAGAGATTCCAGTAGTTATAGATACACCCGTGAAACTTTTTAAATAGTGTTAAGCTTCTGTATTCCTTATCATGCACGTTACACGTAACATTTGTATGTTTGTGAATTTACATTGAATTAGTCATTGGTAAGATTAAGGACGAGGGTACATTAGTCCAAGTAGGCATACTGTTCAGAATAAGTCTAGATAGGTAAATTTTTATTGAGAGCACAAACACAGGCGTCCGACAGTAGTTATCTTCCTGGACCTAAAAGCGACATGTGAGTCTGTGGATCGTGAGGTTCTGTGGCAGTGTCTGTCATTTAAAGATGTACCAAAGAAGTACATTAACCATATACAAGCTCTCTACTCTAAAACTACTGGTCGAGTGAGAGCTTATGACGAACTGTCATCGGAATTCTTTACTTCAAGTGGTGTCCGCCAGGGATTTCCAGTTTCCCCATTCTTACTTAATTTTGTCATAGACATGATCCTAAATTTGACATTATCTTCGTCAGATTTTTCGGAGGTAGACCTTCTACCAGGAGGACCGCTTATTGACGTAGAATATGCCGATGACATTGTTCTATTTGGTGAAGACGCTGACAAAATGCAGTCTTCTGCCTACCCTAAGCAACAATGCAAGCATGTTCGAGAAGCGGTTCTCACCCTCGAAATGCAAAATAATGCATTAAGGTTGGCTTGCAACGGCATCTGAACTAGTGACAAGGAGAGAAGTAGTCGAACGTGTAGACCGCTTCATTCAGTCAGTTGCAACGTAGAACTTCGTACGTATGTACATAAGTTCATGTTACCATACCACATTAGCACAGACGCAAATGTCAAATCAAATCCCAATTGATAGAGATAGTAGAAGTACTACTGGTAATGAAGAAGACTAGGGTTTGAAGATATTATTCAAGAAGTATGATTAAGTGAGATAAGGTTAGAAAGACAAAGGCAGAGGTGCTGACGAATCCAGAAGATTAGGATTTGAGAGAGCACAACGAATGGATGCACTTGCGCCATTGCAAACGATTTTGAGCCATAACGTTCAAGGTCTTTAACCATCGGTTACTATCGTCTCTCACCCCAATCAGGTAACCTACATCTACCAACATGACTCAGTCCACTTGTCAGTGACTTCATGGATTTCTGCCATGTTTTGGTCTGGCCGCCCCTAGCTTTCCTCCAACCTACTCCTACACCACAAAACATAGCTCGTTGAGGCAGTCGGTGGTTAGCCATACATAACACATGTCCCTACCCCCTCAACTGATGAAGTTTCACCACTTCATCTATTGATCTGCCATCGTTACCTAGAACTTGTCTCCTAACGATACCATTGCTTACTCGGTTGTCCCACGATATACGAGCAATGCTTCTTAAACATCTATGAACGAATACTAGTAACCTACGAACATCTACTCTTAAAGGCCATGTTTCACATCCATATAGGAGAACGGAGCGAACTGCTGCGCAGTACACCCGTCCTTTGGTTAGCGAACGGATATCACGCCTACGCCATAAGTGACGCAGGTTGGCAAAAGCCAACCGAGCTTTCTGTATCCGAGCTGAGATTTCGTCAGTCACCAGGCTATCAGCGCTGATCAGATTCTCCAGATAAGTGAAGTGATCAACACGCTCGACTACTTCACTTCCTATCACTAGTTCAGGTGCCGATGCAACCTCGTCTTGAAGCAACATTTTGCATTTTGGGAGGGAAAACCGCATCCCGGACATGCTCGCATTGTTGCTTAGGGTGGTCAGAAGACTGAATTTTGTTAGCGTCTTCACGGAATAGAACTATGTCATCGGCATATTCTAGATCAGTAAGCGATTTTCCTGGTAGAAGGTCAACTCCTGAAAATTCTGACGAGCTTAATGTTAACTCTAATAGGATGTCTACGACAAAGTCGAACAAAAATGAAGAGAGTGGACAGCCCTGACGGACATCACTTGATGTAGAGAATTCAGATGACAGTTGAACATAAGCTCTCACTCGACCAGTAGTGTTCCAGTAGAGTGCTTGTATATGGTTAATGTACTTCTTTTGTACACCTTTCAATGACAGACACTGCCACAGAACCTCACGATCCACAGACTCACATGTCGCTTTTAGGTCCAGGAAGATAACTACTGTCGGACGCCTGTGTGTTTGTGTTTCAGGACCTGTCGTAGTGTGAAGATGTTGTCTATACAGCCACGTTTAGGTCGAAAACCAGCTTAGTTTTCTCGAGTCTGCTCTTCACGAGCTCTAGTTAGGCGTCTAGGGATAATCGAGGCTGATCATTTAGAAACAATATTAGTTAGACTGATTACCCTGTGATTGTCACAAGAGGACTTTTGTCCTTTCTTGTAGTTTGGGAAAATTAGCGACTGAGACCAGTTAGATGGGATTGCGTCCAGTTCCCAGATCCTACCTAGGATCTCGGTCAGTCTAACTATCGAAACTGGACCACCATCCTTAAACATCTCAGAGAGTAGTCTATCAGGACCTGCTGCTCGCCCTCCCTTTAGATTTCCTATAGTTTTCTCAACTTCACGTAGACTAGGAGGACTTAAATCGATTTGCCATTCAGGATGACTGGAGATCGTGGGCAACCGAAGTGTGGCTCGTGGCCAGTTGAACTGATCCCTAAAGTGTTCTGCCCATCGGTCCAGTCTCCTGGATTGAGAATGGATAATAAGACCATCCTTTTCCGAGATGGTCTCACTCATATTCGGGTTCCTAATACCGGTTTCTTTGATAAGGCGGAAAAGTTGTTCAGTGTAGCCTATCACCGCTGCCTTTTCCTTCGCCTTTGCTTTCGCCACCTACCACTGTTTGCGGTCGTTACGTAGGCTTTTTATCAGTCTGCACCTAAGCTGACTTCGCTCTTCGTCATATTCAGAGTCAGGTAGGATGCGTTTTCGAGCATCCGTCAGTTCGGCGGATGCTACTGATATCCACGGCTTCATCCTAGCCTTATGGTTTACCTTGCTAGCAGATATCACTGCTGTTTCCACAGCCTTCTTGATATCATACCAACCTGCTTCTGGATGGGAATCACTTACATCGTTGCTTAACTCTCTTTCTAGTTGCTCCTGAAATATTTTCTTAGCTTGATTATCATTAAGTAAAGTCCTAAGAGGCTTCCTTACGGTGTCTTTCCTACGTCCAATAAGCCTCAAACAAATACGCGCTCGCACTAGGGCATGATCTGAATCTAAACATGTGCCCCACAATAAGCGACAGTCTTCTATCGAACCCCTCCATCGGTGGCTGATGGCTATGTGATCTAGTTGGGTCCAACGTTGAGACGACTTTGGAGGTCGCCAGGTCAACAGATGCTTTTCGTTATGCCTGAAGTTAGTGTTTGCTAAGAATAGGCGGTTATCTGAGCATATTTGCAACAAACGGTCACCATTGTCTGTTCTCTCAGCCGCGACACCATAACATCCACCCAGGTGTCTTTCATTTTCACTTAGTCTACCTACTTGAGCATTGAAGTCACCAGCCATTAAAACTATATCAGAGCGCTTAACTTTTTGGAGGAGGTCCGAAAGCTTTCTGTAAAACTCGTCTTTTACACCGTCTGAACTGCAGTTAGTGGGGGCGTATGCTGATATAACGAAGAGGTAACGACGAGTGTCCCTATGCTTTCGAATCCTTACTATCCCGTTGAGTCGGACGGCGCACAAGCGACTATCTACAGGGATACAGTCTAGGAGAGATAATTCTGCCCTAGGATTCAAAGCTCTACCTACACCAGCATCAGGGCTACCGGATACACTAAGGGTAAATCGAGTTGCTTCTTTATCTTGACATGGTGAGGTCAAGTGAATGATGCTACTCGAATCCTGCATGCGCGTTTCTGAGACGCAGCATACATCGATGGCACGAGATTCTAAAGTCCTAGCCAATGAAGCCTGTTGCCCTGTTTGACACAATGCCCGTACATTAAATGCTCCAACATGTAATTTAGAACGGGGTTTAAGGAGACCAGGAACGACGTTTCGTGAACTCGCATCGTTTGCATTAGCTGTGCACTGTGATAAATGAATGTGAGAAGAGTTAGTCGTGGAGATAAGAGAGGTATTAGGGGGTGTAGGAAGGATTTGATTTTGACCAATTTGATGTGTTCCTTGGCCTTCCTCTTTTCCTTTTGCCTTGAGGGTTCCATGTAAGGGCTTGTCTCGTGACGCAGTTAGGTGCTTTTCGTAGTGTGTGTCCTATTCACTTCCACCGCTTCTTCCTGATTTCCTCCTCCACTGGAATCTGGTTTGTTCTCTCCGACAGTACGTTGTTGCTGATGGTGTGTGGCCAACGAATCCGAAGTATTTTGTGTAGGCAACTGTTAATAAATACTTGTATCTTCTGAATGATGCCTTTCGTAGTTCTCCAAGTTTCCGCTCTATACAGTAGAACTGTCTTGAAATTTGTATTGAAAATCCTGATTTTGGTTGAAAGTGCAGCAGTAATACGTTCAAAAATATGTTTGACTATCTTTCAAAATGTTTAATTTCGTGAGACTCATCAAACTTTGTTACGCATTTTCTGTTTTTGTTCTTCATTTCAGGCCGCGGTGGTAATGCCCCCACCAATCGAGGTCGTGGAGGAGCAGGACGTGGCGGTAATGTGTCTGGTGGTCCTGGTCGCGGTGGAGGATTTCGTGGAAAGTAAGAAAGTCGCTGCTTATAATTGCAAATGTGCTGTTTGCTATTTTGTACATACTGACGGACCTACTTATTTCCTGTTACAGTGTTATGTATGAAGCATTGGTTAATAAATTTCATATAAAAATAGTTAAACGTTTTGGATTTTCACTGGCCATCTTTAATGATCAACATAGTCTGTTGTAAGAGAATGTAAAGCAATAAATACACCTACTTATAAGCTACTACTGCAGTACCCTTTCAAATAGAAAGTATGGTCAGGAAGCATGACTGCAACTATATGTCCTTAAACATGCCTAATCTAAAATTTAAAGAAAAATGAGACTGGTAGGTATATCTAAATTTAGTAGCAAAATAAGTCTAATTTTCTTGGGCTTATTCAAGTGATTATAAAGGCTACGAATTCTGTGAGTCGAACTCTATTCTATAAAAACAGGTCATTGATCTCTTGTAATTCCCAAGAATAAAATGAATAGATTACCGAATCCAGTGTTTAGGACTGCTAGATTTCTGAAACGGAAAATTGTGATCGCATGAGATATATTAATCTTGACTCTTAGTTTGAGATATGATAGGGCATTACAGGCAACCATTTACGATTGCTTACTGGAGACTGGGTGTCGTTCGATTGTTTTCATGATGTAACTATCGATCCTATGATAATTTTGTAGAGAAAAACTAAGGTAGAGTGGAAGAGGGTTAATGATCGATAAAGGTCACTGAGTTTTCGGTAATATCGCCTGGAACCTTTCTAGGGTTGCTGCCGGTCCCATTATTGGATAAAAGAGGAGAATTGGGCTTGGGGTTAGTGACCCTATCCCGTAGAAAATTAACGTAGTAAAAACGCTAACCAGAAAACATAATTAAAACCATTTGGGCTTGTCCCCGGGAATAGGAAGGTCCTCATTTAAATTAGTTATGACGTACGCTTCATAGTGAAAGTCAAGTTTCCACGGAAGTCATGAGGTCGATGCCCGTTCTGACAACGAAAACAACGATCAATATAGTTACACGGAATGTTCACACGATATGTGAGACCGGAAGAACCATTCAAATTGCAGCATAAGTAAAAAAAATACAACCTGGTGGTGCTTGAAATAAGTGGAAACAATTGGACGAAAAAGATTAGCTTCAAGAAAGATTCTGTTGTACTCAAGTCACGAACAAGGACTTCGCAGATGACCAAGCACTCATATCCCACACAACAACAAACGCAGGAGAAGACGATCAGTGTAGCATCAACTTGTACTGCAGAAGGTCTCAACATGCACAAGGGAAAAAGAAAGATCTTTCGATTCAACACAACATGCACCAATCAAAACACGACGTATTTCTTGGATGCAAACATTGTTAGAATTTACTTCTAGTTAGTAATTGAATAGTAAAGTTGATTGGTTGGTGTTGTTGCATAACCTAAACCACTCGTTCTTCTATAAATTTGTGATTTTGAACTACGATAAGCAATTTTAATGATCCTTATCACCATATTGGAATACATACTCTTCACAAGAACGGACACAGGGAAACTGGAGATTCAGGTATTTCAGAAGCCAACCCACACGGATCTAATTCTCAACTACAGTAACAACAACCCAAGAACTCGCAAAATCAACTGCGTGCAGACGTTATTCGAGAGAGCGAAGACACTGCAGCACACATGAAGCACAAAAAGACGAAGAAAAGCACCTGATGACTACATTCCAAAAGAAGGGCTATCCGTGCAGCTTCATCAAAAAATATCAACTGAAGCGAAATTAAGCACAAGAACCAACAAACGGATCGTCCCACCATGCATTTTGGAAGTTACAGCACGATTACTGAGACAATTCGGGATAGGTGTAACCCACAAACCAATCAGAAAAATCATAGGCAATATAGGATCAAGAAACAGATCAAAGGGTGATGCAATCAACGACAGGTTTTAGGTCAACAACAACCAATCAAGATCGAGGTTAGCAGAACAAGCTAAGGGTCATGCGTGGAGAATTTCGTATACCTCACTTCTATCTGAGGTTTGTGCTGAGTTTTTCAGAAGAATAATGAGAGCTCCACAACCAAAACATCTAGCTCAGAGAATGAAACTCCACCACAATCATCCACTTGAGCTACAAATTTTCTCCTCCATCTCTCTACTAGTGTACTTGTGTGCGCCTTGTGAACGACTTGGAAGAGTAGCGAATAAATATGGTCTTTATAACCTGATTGGTTGTCACTGGTGTGAAGCAAATCTAGTCTGTTATGTTGAGAGGATAAAGAGTTTTAAAAATTGTCTTGCTAACGCCCGAATTCTGGAGATTCGCCACCTAACCTAGCTGTCAGTTGAACCCAGTTACTTGATAAAACTAACACAGCTCTTCCAAATCCTTAGTTGGTATTCACTTACTTTTTAACCCATAAAGTGAAACCAGACGACAGAATATTAATAATACTTGATAACGAAATTAAGTTTCATTTTAAACTATTTGAAAATCATTATCTGCAATTCGTTATCATCGAATTGAACACCTGTCGTTATATTTATCTGCGATTGTTGGTTTAGTATTGATTTACTCTGTTACAAAGTAATTAAAGATTTACTAGGATAGAAAATCTATCCCTGTGAACATAATCTAATCGACCCTATAGAAGTCAAGCGAATGTATCACTTATTGCTGGATAATCATTAATTAGGGTTGACTCAGAGAACTCTGAAAGTATATACAAAATATTTATGACTTCAAAAATCTACGACACTAAAATGAATTATGTAAGATTTGAAAATTAGCTGAGAGAATAAGTGTATGTTGATAATCAAAAAAAATTTACATAATTTTTTACAAATTTATATACATGAAAGACTTGATTCATACTAGATTGACTTATTCTTGAAATGAGGGAGAAGCAGTGTCTAGACACAAATGCATCAGGTCAATCTCATAGATATTGGGTGATAAAAATTAATCTTCTTCACATGAAGAATCTCTATACGGAGTTTGAAATAACTCTGGATCATAAGCTTCTCTCAGTGTGATACGCATAAGATGTTTGAAACGTTCTTCTAATTCTGATGGAGTTCGTTGAGCAGAATAAACATACGGTTTGGGTTCCCATATTTTAGCCAAGTCTGTAAACATCTGCGAGCTATAACGTCCTTTAGCTTTACAAAACTCCAATAACTGTCTGTCTTCTTCCGGTGTCCAATCGTCTGTGTCATTATTGACTAAGTCGCATAGGTCACTTTCATGATTCTCATCATATGTAGATGCGAAAGCTTCAGTATTGAAGCAAGCAGCTTCATCATCTAGCGACCAACTCATAGGATTTTCTACATGATCAAAATTCGGACGTGATATGAGACTAGTTCTATTCAGTACATCGACCAGTCTTGGATGCTTATCTGTTGGAGGACAAGAGAGTTGAATGTCGGTAATCCCTTCAAGAGCATTAAACTCATCTTGATTATTTGAGTCATCTACTACCTGTCGATTGACCGATGGACTCGATTTCAATGAAGGAATAAATTCGATCGAAACACGTCGACCGGCCATATCTGGTAGGAAACTGCGATGACTTGATACTCTATTTGCAGAATATAATCTGGCATGGATTTTTGCAAGTTCGTTTACGGCAGTACGCGTAGAAATACTTGATGATGCATGATGCATTGTTGCAGGACGAGGGCTTTGATTTGTAATAAAGTCAGCTGGTAAGGAACTTAGAGGTAAGGGAGCTTTTGGTTTAAAACCAGGTGGCCAAGTTATCTTTACATGACGCAGATGAAGATTGCACTCATCAACATACACAATGCCACGATGTACCTAGAAAATAATAATAAAGTCAAGTGATATACTGAAATAATTGACAAACGTTAAATAAAAAGTATTATGTCCTTCGATCGGTGCCTGTATGTTCACAGCCTAATGAACTTATTAATCATGATTTTTTTCATGTTATTAGATAAACTTTAGTTGGTACATATACGAAATAGCACATTTTGTACAAATTCGACTTCATCTGAGAAAACTTGTTTCTAAATTCCATTTCGTTAACTTAGATGCTTTATTTTTCACCTGTTTACCATTCATGGCATGTCACAAAATGACAAACTTAGAGCTCCATCAAATGTTAAGCTTTGTTTCAGCCCAATCCCATTCATGCTCATGGACGTTTGGATGAAAATTATGTATATAGGAAATTGGCTTCATTTCAATAAGAGCTTGGAAATATATCGTCCTGCATAAGACAACAAAATATAGCATGATTAAAAAATCTGAGAGAAGATATTGTTATAACTTAACATAATAAGTGACTCCAAGGAATAAAAGTGAACGTACTCTTAAACTGCAGGAAATACAGTGTCTTAGACCAAGACTGTCGACCTTTTTTGCAGGTTTTCCAGATTGACTTGTAATTGGAATACTGTTTGATGATGTATTAGGATGACATCGGCAAGGACACTGTTTACGAACCCAAGGTGTACCAAACGAGTTATTTCGACTGAGAGCTGTTGAAGCTAGGTCAGTACATACTTCCCAACCTTCCGAAAGAAAAGATCGTAACTGAGGAGAAAGAGTGTTGATTGGAGGAGAGATGTATTCATTATTTGAAATGCTTGTATTTTGATTTGATTTCTCAGAATCAGTTGAGTTTCCTACAGGATGACGAGCAAGTATATCTGATTCTTCAAAACTCTAAAAGGATAACGAATATAAAAGTTTATATTACTACCTATTATTTTACTGAGTAATATGGAAATTCACAAAGCTTCCATATTGAGCTTATCGTTAGCAAACTCTGGACTCGGATATTAACTTAGTACGACTTATTCCCTCCATATAACGCTATATTTAGTACACAATCACAGTTGAAAGTTGCTTTCTAGTAGTCTTTTTGTCTCATGTAGGAACAGTATACTTTACTTTTGAAAAGTATGAAATCTTGTTTCTGCTTATATTTAGCAGTTTTATTGTTATTATAGTCGTGATATCCCCTTCCTATTATGTAAGGTATGTTCTAACCAACCAGTTGCTGGTCAAACCTCAAGAAATAGTGTTTTAAATAGTATAACTCCGTTAGGTAGTGAAGATAAATAAGTCATGTTAACTTGGTAGCTACGATTGCATATATATATATATATATATATATATATATATATATATATATATACATCAGTTCATTCTTCACCAGTGGCAAAGGAGTTTTACGAAGTTAATGATGATAAATAAATATTGCACAAAATAATGTCACCAACCTGTTCAAAACCAACATATGGCTTATGCCTCGTATTAATAAGACTGGCGATACGTGATAGGAGAACAGGACGGTTGCGCCAGCTACTTTCCAGAACTGACCAGGCTTTGGAAAATGCATCATGCATATTTCTATGCCGCAAACCTCTAACGCGGAATTTGGTTCGGGTTTTATTTTGGGTTGTACTTGAACTTTGACCCGGTTTTAACACAGATGACTTTTGGATGTTCTGAGTCCCACTGGATACTTTTCCGCTAAAATCATTGCGGTCTCGCTCATTTTTATTTGAAGGATCGTGAGCACCATTATCACCTAGACCTACATATACCTTCTTTTTGACTGGAATATGACGTGCCTCCATGCTACAGCTATCTGCCAAATTACGAAGACGTCTCCAAAATCTCCTATCACGGGGAACAATATCCTGTAAAACTCTTTGGACTCGGTTGATTCGTACCAGATTGAAGTATGTAGATAACAGACCGAGACTACGGGCTTGTGATGGAGTGAGAAGGCAAACAAAGTCCTCCCATAATGATAAATGTTTTTTCAAACAATTTAGCACACATGCGAGTGAAAGTAATACTTCAGTTTTGTCCAACTGTTCATGATTACTAGTGACTAATATAGGATTTTGAATAGCTTGACTTAGATTGCATAAGTTACACATCATATTTGTGTAATCACTTGGAGTCAAATAGGCTCGACATCGATCCAATAATGAACGCGCTCGCCTCACATCCATATCATCCATTACTGTTTGAGAATGACTTGAAACAGAAGACGGTAGAGTAAGTAAATCGGTTGAGTTGGCATCACCACGTGCTCGACATCTTGCAACAAAACGACTGGATGACACAAGACATGCACTTGGGAAAATACCCGCAACTTGACTCTGATATTCATCAGAAATAAAAACTGACGAGTCCAAAACAGATTGGAAATGGTTAGACCACACGGGACTTGTATCTGCACTAGAAATATGGGGATTTAAGATTGGTAGCTTTAACATATGACAAAACTTTCTAGGTCCGAAAATAGCATCTCCACCGACAGCACAAAACTTGTCAAAACCGAAGTGAAATATGTTCACTAAAGCATCTGCTACTTTTTGACAAACATTTAGTGCATCATTACCTGTATGACTCCAGTAAGATTCCAAAATATTAGGCATTTCTTCGAACTGATGATCATTTAAAGCATATTCAACAGAGGATGTTGCAACAAGACCATTTGATATATCATGATTTTCAGTACTAGTTGGTGGTTCGACATTATCTTCATTTGAAAGGGTATATGACTTTTGACTGCTTATTCGAGCCAAGATAAATTCGATATGATGTGATGTTTTAGGTTGAACAATTTGATTTTGTTGTGCCTCTTGATTTGGAAAATTATCAACCGGATTTTCAGAGTGATCAATTGAATCATCAATCGCCTCACAGTTATCAGGAACTTTAAAAACTTCAACTAAAGCAGGTTCACTAGTTTTGCTGACAACAACGGTGCTAAAATATTAAAAAGATCATTAAAAGATAATGATAATGAAATATGAGGTAAGAACAATAGAATATCACTATTCTCGAACAGTGTATGTGATTTAAGAAATAAAAAATTAACTAGACTCTATTGTTGTCAGAAATTAGCTCATTGAATCATAAGCCAACAAGATAAATAAATGAATATCGTTAAACAACAGTATTTTACATAATGTCAGTATTTCGCACGCTTTCCTATCAGTATACAGATATTATGTAGTTTTGATGTTAGTGCTTGCATGAATGGATATTTCTACTTTTTTCATTTGTCGACTACACATTAGGAAAAGTCAGTTGACGTAAAATAAGCGAAAAATCCAGATGACCAGCATGCTAGTATTTTAATGTTTAAGACATCTATAAACAAGTTTAGATAAAAAATTTATTATTCAACAAATAACCCAACAATTTATTACGATAATTTACAGATATATGGCTGATTTATTTCTCATAAATTTCAACGCTTTAATTGGCAGGTAATTCTGTTTTCTGATAATTATTGTGTTACGATTTCCCTACCATCATTAGAATTAGTTTGTAGGCCATCCTGTCCTACGATAACCGGGATTTTAAGAGCATTATTGATTTTGTAGTAAGGATATTCTACTATCAAAGACGTATTCTGATTTTCCAAGTAAACTGTTTGCTTCAACATCACTAAATGCAATAGCATGGACAGGATCACACTGTGCAGGTTTCTTCGACACTACGGTATGCCAGAGAACACAGTCAACATCATACAGAGTTCTTATGATAGGTTAAACTGCGAAATCATGCATGGAGGATAGCCAAGTGAAAAACCAAGTCAAACAAGGTTGCTTACTTCCACCCTTTCTCTTAACTTTGATGGTCGACTGAATTATGAAGACGTCGACATCTCAAAAGAAACACGGAATACACTGGACATCTCGGGTACGGCCGGACGATCTGGACATCGCAGATAACCAAGCACTCATATCCCACACAACAACAAACACAGGAGAAGACAATCAGTGTAGCATCAACTTGTGCTGCAGAAGGTCTCAACATGCACAAGGGAAAAAGCAAGATCTTCCGATTCAACACAACATGCACCAAACAAATCACAATTCACGGGGAAGCTTTAGAAGATGTAGAAACCTTTACATATCTGGGCAGCATTGTTGATAAGCAAGGTGGATCTGGTACAGACGTAAAGATACCAAACGACAAATCAACAGCAGTATTTCTACGAGAACAACTGGCGCTCAAAAGATTTGTCAACTGACACCAGAGTCACCACCTCCAATACGAACATCAATACCTTTATATTGTATGAAGTGGAAACCTGGAGAACTACAAAAGCCATCATCCGAAAGATACAGGTGATTATTAACAGCTGTTTACGCCAGACACTCCCGACCGTAGCTGCTACCTTGACGTGGTGGTCGGGCTTGCCTATCGTGATGACCCAACCGAGCTATACTGGCTGGAACATATGTTCCTGCAGGTCCTACCATGCCAGACAGGTCGATTGGAGAACGATGAGACTAAAAGCAGCTACCCAAGGTCTGAGGGCGAAGTCGTACTGCTGACTGCAGAGGGGTGTGACAGCAGTAAGGTGTTTCCCTCTGACAACCAGCATCTGCAGCGATGCTGCCTTCTCACAAGGAAGGAAGGGTTAGAAAATGTCGGCCCTAAAAATGTTACACCTCCCCTACCTCACGGATTTCCGTCTCCTTGGGTAAGGGTGCCCACTAAGGGCCTTTAAGAACGGAGCTAATCCTCTGAATACCTTTCATAAAAAGGCCTTGCGTGACCGGCCTGAAGCAGTTGTCCCTTGGGCTCTGCGGTCACGCACCAACACTAATCCATCTTCCTTTTCAGGTCCCTCAAGAAACAAACTTCCACGGTGTGGGCAGCCGGGAAGTGACAACCGCCCTCATACCCATAACAGCACGCGAGACCAAATTGTTCAAAATCAAATCCTTCCTACACCCCCTATTGTCTCTCTTATCTCTACGACTAACTCTACTCACACTCCCTTTTCCCACTGCACCGCTAATGCAGACGAAGCGAGATCACGAAACGTCGTTCCTGGTCTCCTTAAACCCCGTTCTAAACTACATGTTGGAGCTTTTAATGTGTCAAATAGGGCAACAGGCATCATTAGCTAGGACTTTAGAAACTCGTGCCATCGATGTATGCTGCGTCTCGGAAACGCGCATACAGGATCCTAGTAAAGTCATTAACCTGATTCCACCTTGTCAAAACGAAGAAGCAGCCCGATTCACTCTTCGTGTATCTGGAAGCCCTGATGCTGCTTCCAGGGGTCTTGCTGGCGTAGGCATAGCGTTGAGTCCTAGGGCAGAATTATCTCTCCTAGACTGGATCCCAGTAGATAGTCGTTTGTGCGCTGTCCAACTAAATGGAACAGTAAGGACTCGGAAAGATAGGGACACTCGCCGTTGCCTCTTCGTCATATCAGCCTACGCCCTCACTGACTGCCCTCAACGTTGGACTCAACTAGATCACATCGCCATCAGCCACCGATGGAGGGGTTCGATAGAGGACTGTCGCTCTTTCTGGGGCACATGTTTAGATTCAGATCATGCCCTAGTGCGAGCACGTATTTGTTTGAGGCTTGCTGGACGTAGGAAAGACGCCGTAAGGAAGCCTCTTAGGGTTTTACTTAATGATAATCAAACTAAGAAAATATTTCAGGAGCAACTAGAAAGAGAGTTAAGCAACCATGCAACTGATTCCCATCCAGAAGCAGGTTGGTATGATATCAAAAAGGCTGTGGAAACAGCAGTGATATCTTCTAGTAAGGTAAACCACAAGACTAGGATGAAGCCGTGGATATCAGTCGCATCCACCGAACTGATGAATGCTCGAAAACGCATCCCACCTGACTCTGAGCATGATGAAGAGCGTAGTCAGCTTAGGCGCAGACTTATGAAAAGCCTACGTTACGACTGCGAACAGTGGTGGGTGGCGAAAGCAAAAGCGATGGAAAAGGCAGCGGCGATCGGCAACAGTAGACAACTTTTCCGCCTTATTAAAGAAACTGGTATTAAGAACCCGAATGTGAGTGAGACTATCTCGGAAAAGCATGGTCTTATTATCCATTCTCAATCCAGAAGACTGGATCGATGGGCAGAACACTTTAGGGATCAGTTCAACTGGCCTCGAGCCACTCTTTGGTTACCCACGATCTCCAGTCATCCTGAATGGCAAATCGACCTAAGTCCCCCTAGTCTTAATGACGTTGAGAACGCGTTAGGAAATCTGAAACGAGGACGAGCTGCAGGTCCTGATAGACTGACCCCTGGGAAATTTAGGGATGGTGGTCCAGTTTTATCAGCTAGGTTGACTGAGATCTTAGGTAGAATCTGGGAACTGGACGCAATCCCATCCGACTGGTCTCAATCACTGATTGTCCCAATCTATAAGAAAGGACGAAAGTCTTCTTGTGACAATCACAGGGGAATAAGTCTAACTAATATAGTTTCTAAAATATTGGCCTCAATAATACTTCGACGCTTAACGAAAGCTCGTGAAGAGCAGACTCGAGAAAACCAATCAGGTTTTCGACCTGGACGTGGTTGTATAGACCACATTTTCACACTACGACAAGTCCTGGAACACAGACACACATTTAGACGTCCTACAATAGTTGTTTTCCTGGACCTTAAGGCGGCATTTGACTCAGTGGATCGTGAGGTTCTGTGGCAGTGACTGTCATTGAAAGGTGTACCAAAGAAATACATTAACCTCATACAAGCTCTCTACTCAAACACCACTGGTCGAGTGAGAGCTTATGGCGAACTGTCACCGGACTTCTCTACATCAAGTGGTGTCCGTCAGGGATGTCCACTCTCTCCATTCTTGTTTAATTTTGTCATTGACATGCTCTTAGAAATAACCTTATCGTCGTCTGAATTTTCTGGAGTAGACCTTCTAGCAGGTGGCTCGCTTATTGACTTAGAATATACCGATGACATAGTCCTACTTGGTGAAGATGCTGACAAAATGCAGAGTCTTCTGACTACCCTAAGCAACAATGCAAGCATGTTTGGGATGCGGTTTTCCCCTCGAAATGCAAAATGTTGCTTCAAGATTGGGTTGCATCGGCACCTGAACTAGTGATAGGGAGTGAAGTAGTCGAGCGTGTAGACCGCCTCACTTATCTTGGGTGTCTCATCAGTGCCGATGGCCTGGTGACTGACGAAAGCTCAACTCGGATACAGAAGGCTCGATTGGCTTTTGCCAACCTGAGTCACTTATGGCGTAGGCGAGATATCCGTTTGCTGACTAAAGGACGAGTGTACTGCGCAGCAGTTCGTTCCCTTCTCTTATATGGCTGTGAAACATGGCCAATGAGAGTAGAAGATACTCGTCGGTTATTGGTTTTCGATCATAGGTGTCTTCGAAGCATTGATCGTATATCGTGGGACAACCGAGTGAGCAACGCTGTTATTAGGAATCGGTTGCTAGGTAAGAATGGCAGATCAATCGATGAAGTATTGAAACTTCACCAGTTGAGGTGGTTGGGACATGTGTTGCGTATGCCCAACCACCGACTGCCTCGAAGAGCTTTGTTTTGTAGTGTAGGAGTAGTTTGGAAGAAAGTTAGGGGCGGCCAGACCAAAACATGGCAGAAATCCATGAAGTCATTGACGAGTGCACTTAGACATGTCGGTAATTGTCGACTACCTGGTTGGGGTCCGCGAGATGATAATAATCGATGGTTAGAGACCTTGAATGACGTGGCTCAAAATCGTTCGCAATGGCGCCGGTGCATTTATTCTTTGTGTTCTCCCAAATGCTAATCTTCTGGATTCTTCAACACCTCTAGTTTCGACTATCTAAACTTTTCTCACTGAATCATACTTCCTGAATAGTATCTTCTTACCCTAACCTCTCCGATTATTTCTAATTCCCTTACTACCTCTTCTACTATTGGATTTGAATTGACGATTACTTCTCTGTGCTGATGTGGTATGGCAACATGAACTAATGTACTTACGTACCAAGTTCTACGTTGCATCTGACTGACTGACGCCAGACACTCCTCACCCGTCGGCCAGATACCATCAGAAACAACAGATTGTGGGAGAGAAAAAACCAGATTCCAGACGAGAAATGAATTTGGAAAAGTTGCTGGATGTGGATAGAACACAGATTGAGGCACGCACCCAACTGCATCACAAGACAATCCCTCACTCGAAACACTAAAGGCCAAAGAGAAATGGGTAGACAAAGGAACACTGAGCTTAGAATTGGAGACAGACATAAAAATAATGAATGTCGATCAGTTAGAACTGGAAAGGGGATTTCAGGACAGAGGTGGTTGGCGAATGGTAGTCAGCGGCCTGTGTTCGATCAGGGGTAAGTCCGACCGTAGCTGCTAGATTGACGTGGTGGTCGGGCTTGCCTATCATGATGATCCAACAGAGCTATATTGGCTGGAACATATGTTCCTGTAGGTTCTACCGTGTCAGACAGGTCGATTGGAGTCCTAGGGCAGAATTAGCTCTCTTAGACTGGATCTCAGTAGACAGTCGTTTGTGCGCTGTCTGATTAAAGGGAACAGTAAGAACTTGTAAAGTTAGGGATAGTCACCTCTGCCTCTTCGTTGTCTCTGCCTACGTTTCCACTGACTGCAACTCGCATGAGGTAAAGTATGAATTTTACAGAAAGCTTTTCAACCTCCTACAAAAGGTTAGGCGCTGTGATGTTCCAACAGCGACTGATGACTTTATTGCTCTAGTAGGTAGACTAAACGAAAAGGAAAGACGTCTGGATCGATCCTATGTTGTCGCGATTCAAAGAACAGACAATGGCGACTGTCTGCTGCAACTACGTTCAGATAACGGCCTGTTTCTGGCAAATACTAACTTGAAGCATAAGGAGAAACATCTTTCGACATGGCGACCCCCAAAATCAACCCAACACTGAAATCAACTAGACAACATCGCTATCAGCCACCGATAAAGAAGTTCGATAGTAGACTGTCGCTCGTTCCACAGCACACGTTTAGATCCAGATCATGCTCTAGTGCGAGCGCGTATTTGTCTGCGTCTTACTGTACGCGGAAAAGACAGCAAGGTAGCCCCTCAGAGTTCTACTCAACTATAAGAATTCCAAGAGTATATTTCGAGAACAACTGGAAAGACAGTTAGGAAGCCATGTAAGTGACACCCACACCGAGGCCGCTCGGAATGACATTCAAAACGCTGTGGAAACAACAGCGATATCTCGCAGTAAGGCAAACCATCAGGTTAGGCGGAAGCAGTGGATATCACTAGTATCCACTGAACTGATCGATGCTCGGAAAACTCATTCCACTTGGCTCTGAACATAATGAGAAGCGGAGACAGCTTAAGCACAGGCTGATAAGCCTGCACAGTGATCGCGAACAGTGTTGGGCAGAAAAGGCAAGAGAGATAGATGGAAAGGGAAGTGACAATAGGTAACAGTAGACAACTGTTCAGACCTATGAAGGAAACCGGTATTAGGAATACGAGTGTTAATGGGACTATCTCGGAAAAGGATGGAACTAATATCTATTCTCAATCCAATCAACTTGCATGGCGAGTTGATGTAAGTCCCCCGACTCTTAATGAGGTTAGAAAGGCCATAGGCATTCTAAAGCGCGGTAGAGCAGCGGGCCCTGATAGGTTAGGCCTTGAGCTTTTAAGGATGGTGTTCAAGGTTTTGCAGTTAGATTGACTGAGATCGTATTTGGAATCTGTGGACTGGATGTAATCCCATCTGACTGGTCTTAATTACTGATTGAGTCAGTCTGTAAGAAAGAACAAAATTCCTCTTTTGACAATTACAGAGTAATCAATTTGACTAATATAGTGTCTAAATGATTAGCTTCAATAATAATTCGACGTCGAACTAGGACTCGTGAACAGCAGATTCTGGAAAACCAGGTTGGGTTCAGACGTGGACATGGATGTGTAGACCAGATATTCTATGGCAGTGTCTGTCATTGAACAGCGTCCCGAAAAGGTGCATTAGTCTTGTACAGGCCCCCTACTCGAACACTAATAGTCTAGTGAGAACTTATGGCGAACTGTCATCGGATTTCGTTATTTCATGTGGTGATCAGAAATGTCCACATTCTGCATTCTTGTTTATCTTTGTTAATGACATGCTTCTAGATATAACACCATCTTTGTCTGACTTTTCAGGAGTGGGTCTTCTACCAGGAGACTCGCTCGTTGACTTAGAATATGTTGATGACACAGTTCAACTTGGTGAAGACACTGAACAAATGTAGAGTCTTCTGACTACCCTAAGCAACAATACAAGCATGTTCCGGATGAAATTGCCTCCATCGAGATGCAAAATGTTGCTTGAGAATTAACTTACCTCGGCACCTACACTAGTGATACAGAGTGAGGTAGTTGAGAGTGCTGACAGTTTCACCCATCTTAGGAGTCTCGTCAGTGCTGATGGCCTGGCGTCTGACGAAATCTCACCACGGATACAGAAGATTTGGTTGGCTTTGCATAACCTGCGTCAATTATGGCGTAGGAGAGATATTTGTCTGTTAACTAAATGACGAATCTACTGCGCAGCAGTTCGCTCCGTCCTACTATATGGATGTGAAACATGGCAAGCATGGGTAGACGATAATTGTAGGTTACCAGTATTCGATCATAGATGTCTTCGAAGCATTGCTCGTGTATCCTGGGACAATCCAGTAAGCAATGCTGCTGTTAGGAAACGGGTAATAGGTAAGGATGGCAGGTCAATAGATGAAGTAGTGAAACTTTATCAGTTGAGGTGGTTAGGACGTGCTACGAATGCCCAGTCATCGACTGCCTCGACGAGCTTTATTTTGTGGTGTAGGGGTAGGTGGGAAGAAACCAGGGACAGCCAGACCAAAACATACAACAAATTCATGAAGTCACCGACAAGTCGACTGAGTCATGTTGATAGATTTAGACTACCTGTTTGAGGTCCGCGAAACGATAGTAACTAATGGTTAGAGACCTTGAACGATATGGCTCAAAATCGTTTGCAATGGCACAGGTGCATTCATTCATTGTGTTTTCTCAAATTCTAACCCTCTGAATTCCTTGTGACCGTCTTTTTCTCTCGTTTTGTTTTTTTAAAATTGACTCTTTTAGGATATGATATCTCCGATCACTAAACTTTTTCTTTAATTGCCTTTAATACTTCTACTACATTGGGATTTGAATTGATCATTCAATTTCTCTGTGCAATTGTGGTATGACAACTTGAACTAATGTACATACGCACGAAGATCTACGTTGTAGCTGTCTTACTGACATTATTGCAAAGCCACGTTTAAAACGTTTTCAAAGTGAGAGCAGCCCTCTTGAACATCCTAAGTCTTGAACTCATTAGATATTCAATAAATCCAAGATATTTTATTTTTTTGAACAGAATTCAAAACTTCCATCAAATCAACTCAAAGCATTTATAGTTAACTAAAAGATGTCGCATTGTATAAACATCTAACAATTAACTAGGTCAACAGAATGTTTTCTTCAATTCAGCAAGTAACTACTGGTGATTATAACTCATTATAGCACTTAAATGGACTTGAAGAATTATCATGTAAATTCTAAATAAAAACAACTAGTAAAAAAAGGGTGAAATTAATAAATAAATAAAATGAAGATTTCAGAAACTTATAAAGATATATACCAGTTGGACAGTTTAATCCTGAAAGACAAGAAAACTTTCATGCTTAAAAGATACAGATGGAAGAACACAATATTTGATAAATCCTCATTTTGGGCTACATATTTTCTCTACCATATCAACACATCGGTGTCTACGTTATCGATACGTAATTGGAATAAATCAGGAGGGAAACCGGACACAATATTATGCACAATTAATTTTTTTGATAAGCAACATGAGCAAGAAAATCTTTGAACATATTTTGTCTAAATAGAGAGCGTAAGAAAATATAAAGCAGCTATATATGACAAAACAAGATAATGGTGAACAGTTTTGTGAAAACATGGAGAACCCACCCGTCAGGATTGAGATCCACTGGGATAGCAGGTAAATAATTCGGACCAAGGACATCACATTGAATTGGTGGTTCTGATTTGACCTCGGATTTACTATTTAAAGCTGTTGAATCCGATGTTGTTGTTTGAATTTCCATAGAGCAGGTTTTCCCAATCTGCGACCTCCAAAAACACTCAGCATTTTCTATGAACTCGGTTAGTACATCCAACCTACGTTTTGTATTGTCGCTACGACAATTAGAATTTAAAACATACTCATAGCCTACATCTGTGGGAAGCCCTTCAAAAGTAAATAAATCTCTAGGATTTTTATCAGTTAAACATTCAACAATCAGTGGGAGGCCATAGGGAACAGCAAGTGTAGTCATTTCATTAGCATACTGTTGAATTCCCTTTAAGTCTACTTCCCCTGGTTGACTTAATTCAGTGTAGAGTTGGAGTAGACGGCGAGTAGCAGCTGGTATAGGCTTAGAGTCTCCAGCATTTTCTATATTGTCCCGATTAGCCAAAAGATTCCAACGACGAGATCTTAACTGCAACAGTGTGCGATACGGAAGTATATGCCTACCGATTAAACGATATGCAATGTAACGACAAGGTTGCTTACACTGGGATCCACGACTTCTAGATATGTGGTGATAATGAAAACTTCTAGGTTCGAGAGACTTACGAGTTCGAGTTAACGCACCAGAAAAATCCGCTAATCCCATTACCATTAAAGCATCTTCAGATGGGTGAAAAATTAATCGAACATGACTTTTTGGATATGGTCCTAACACAGTGGGCATTAAACACGCATAAGACCAAATAGGGCTGTTAATCATTATACGTAGTAAACAATATGGGATAGGCAGGGCAAATGATTGTGACTTAGTCAGACTGCTTCCTACTCCTTGTTTATACGGATTCCATGGTAAACGTGGAAGCATAGACAATCCAGCATAATCAGAAATTAGGTCAACAGCCATTTCCAAAGTTGGACAACACCAATAGAAGCTTGTGACAGGTTGAGATTTATCTGGAATATTTTGTTGAAGAGCAACTAGGTCAAAAGCTTGACGTTTAGCAATTAAAGTTTTGAGAAGAGTGGCACACGGTCGGGTGGAACATTCATGCATATCAGGAAAATCATACGTTAATAAGAAATTTGTAGTTAACAACTGAATATGCATTACAAGTTGACGTTCTAATCGGACCAGTTCTGTATCAGTAAGACTACAATAGAAATAAAAATTACGAAGACCATATTACAATGGTATAATGAAACTTATTTCTAAAAATGTGAAAAGCAAAAGTATCTGTTATGCCATAAAAGAAAAAATATCTTAAAACTTCTCAAAAACAATACTTGAAATAATTACTCTCATCAACATTGTGATGAGTGGATTGATATATATATGCAGTAATTTTTTTAAGGATGGTAACTTGACGTAATATGAAATAACATACAAATCATGTTGCCTTCCCGTCATTTCTAATACATGTACGGTCCGGACAACTTAGAGGGAGATGTTCGCAAAGAAATTTCAATGGAAAACAGATATGCTTAAGAAAACATAAAGCTGGAGTCTCACGGCTTCCTACAGAAAACTATAAAAGTACGGGAAAATCTAACACAGACTCCATCAATCATAATCCGTATCACCACAATATGGCTAATCGATTGAAGAACTTGGTTTTCAACAGGTGCGTTATAAGTCCTGACCTTGCTCCACCACCTAATTTGCTTTTGACAATCTACCCCAGTAGTATCAATAGCTCTTGGACAAAAATGCCGAACACATATACCTGTGACTAGTTGCTAAGAAACGTTACAGTTATATTGTTTGAAATGAGGAGAAAATTACAAAACCTTAGACTATTTTGTCTTTGTTTTCCAATAAATCTCTTGATTGAACAGTATAGAGCTGATGCGAATTGCTTGCCTCAACCTTTTACAGTAATCTTTAAAAACAACCATTGTTTTCATTCTACTGTTGATTTTACTGCTTATAAAGCACTCTACAGACCGTAATTATAATAAAGAATGCTTCTTACAATATTTGGCATAACGTAGTTAAGCTCAGATAACCGCCTATTTCTGGCAAATATTAACCTGAAGCATAAGGTAAAACATCTTTTGACCTGACGACCCCAAAAGTCGTCCCAACACTAAATACAACTAGATCAGATTGCCATAAGCCACCGAAAGAGGGGTTAGATAGAGGACTGTCGCTCGTTCAGTAGCACATGTCTAGATTTAGATCATGCTCTGGTGCTAGCACGTATCTGTTTGAGACTTACTGGACGCAGGAAAGACACCGCAACGAAACCTCTAGATCGAGTAGGGAAACTTTATCAGTTGAGGTGGTTAGGACGTGCTACGAATGCCCAGTCATCGACTGCCTCGACGAGCTTTATTTTGTGGTGTAGGGGTAGGTGGGAAGAAACCAGGGACAGCCAGACCAAAACATACAACAAATTCATGAAGTCACCGACAAGTCGACTGAGTCATGTTGATAGATTTAGACCACCTGTTTGGGGTCCGCGAAACGATAGTAACTAATGGTTAGAGACCTTGAACGATATGGCTCAAAATCGTTTGCAATGGCACAGGTGCATTCATTCATTGTGTTTTCTCAAATTCTAACCTTATGAATTCCTCGTGTCCAGTTTTTCTGTTTTTTTTAAAGTTATTTCACTGGATTATACTTCTTGAATGATATCTTCGAACTCTAATCTTCTACATTACCGCTAATACTTCTACTATCTCTACCGCTATGGGATTTGAACTGACTATTGTGTCTCCATGCTAATGCGGTATGGCAACCTGAACTAATGTACGAACATACGAAGTTCTAAGTTGTAACAAACTGACTGACCGTCATGCTAGTTTCGTGTGTCAATAAAGCATGCCTGCATTCTTGAGATAACTAATATTCCTTGGTCGATTGCAACGTATATGTGTTTCATAGTGGTGATTGTGATTCGACGCTATCAGATATGTTATTCAGGAGGCTTTGGAACATATAAATACTTTCCGATTTCCGATAACAGTTGTCTCCCTCGATCCTTAGTACGTCTTATGAGGTTCTGTGAGAGTATTAGTCATTAAGGAGACGTACCAACAAGGTTAATCAACCTCATACAAGCTCCATACTCGAACGCAAATGGTCTGGTCAGAACTGATGTTGACCAACTGTTAGAATTAATTGTTTCAAGTGTTTCTTTATAAATATGCTTCTAGAAATAATACTTTCATCGTCTGACTTTTCGACAGTGAACCTTTTACTAGGAAATTCACTTGTTCACCTAAAATACTTAGATAGCGTATTGTTGCTTGTGAGGACGGTGACTAAATGCAGTCTTCTGACCACTCTAAGCAACAATACAAGCACGTTCAAGATGAGATTACTTTCCTAAAAATGCAAAAATTTCGCTTTAGGATTAGCTTGCCTCGGCACCTACACTAGGATAGGGAGTATAGTAGTTGCATTTATCAACTGCTTCACTTATCTTCGGAATCTAATCAGTTCTGATAGCCTGCTGATTGAAGAGATCTCATTAGGAATACAGAAAGCTTGACTAGCTTTTGACAACTTGCATCACTTGTAGAGTCGGTGAGATATCCGTCTGCAAAAAACTTGTCATGAATAATTGAATCTGAAGATAATACAACGCTGGGTTTGTTGTGCAACCACCTACAATGTAGCCAAATCTTCTGAAAATAGTGACAACTATGGAAAGCATATTATATCACAACTTGCAGAGAATGCTGAAATATACAGCCTTCATTTCACAGCTCATTATATTCGGAAATAGAGATGGGATAAAATTTCTACAACTAACGTGATGCGACGCCGTGCTGCAGTTGGATTAACAGGTGTTTCTGTGGCCTTATGAGAACTTCTATAGGATCCAAAAGATTGACTATGTTGTGGATTATTAAGTTCATCCACCTGACTATTATTTCGAATTGTATTGCGATCCATATGAAACAAACGTTGACCATAAGCTTTCATAGCTAGAAATGAGGGTGTTTTTGTTTGATGTGTACGATTTTCAAGTCCTTCTTCTGAATTGAACAGTTCACGTAAATCCTCATGTAAGTTCTGCACAGGTAACAAAGAACAATTAGAGTTTAAACTTAAAACTTTTGGTTTAAATTATAACTAAATTGAAAAATACACTGTAAAAGCATGTAATAAGTTTTGTAGTAGCTATATATTTTTTTGTCTAGTTAACAATAGTAATTACGAAGAGTTTTATGTGACATCGTTTAGTTAGATTGATCTAACTATAATTTACATCATCGTCTATATATTCGCTAACCGGAGCTTCTGTTTCAGTTGTTTTCATATATAGAACTCAATAAGCTAATATTTTACATAGCAAACTCGGTTAACTGATTATTGATGGGTGTAAGTCATTGAATACATTGGTATACATACCAATGTGGGCTTGAAACTATTCTACTTTGAAGTAATTCAAAAAAAAAATTATATGCCGATAGTGGATTTCAGACGATGGCACCCTAAGCCTACACCATACTGATCATTGCAAAGTTCGAAAAATAAGTCTCTCAGTGTATAAACCACATTGATCGGTAAAATCATGAACTGCCATGCATGGAAAAATGTAGAAAAAGAGTTGATAAACTGACTGAAGCGGTGAAACTCGTGACTGTAAACTTATCATTGCAATATTTTTTTTAAATTAGTACGAAAATTTCATTGAGAATGAACTAACTCACAAACTAGAGTGTATTTAAAAAACTTGTCCTGACAAATTGTTTTTTTAACTAAAAAAATGGATGAATATGTTAATTACGTTGTTAGCTTTTGTAACTTCACACTAAAAGACATCATTGTGCAACTCAAAACAGGTATAAAAGCGTGTTTGATTGACCATCGAGCTCGTGAATATGATTACGACCGGATCCACATTCTGGATGTTGGTGAGTTTTTTCTTCAGTATTAAGACAATTAATTTCAATCTATTTAGCTTTAAGCTTGTCTGCTGGAATAATTTGTAAGAGCGGTGACTTTTTATAATGCAACTGGTGAAATTAAAATAGACTGATCGAGTCGCATTTTAAACAGAATGTAGTATTCAGCAAGGGTATCTAAAAAGTTTAATGTGTTATGCACTCAAGGTGGAAAATGACGATGTAGAATTTATGAATGCGAGTACTTATCATACAGGTATTGAACAAAATTGTAAAGTGAATTAACCAATATGTGAATAGTAGTTTACGTTCTTGATGTTTATCCACCGGAGTTTGAATATCGATACTATATATGAAAGATTAAATTCGATTTAGCGAAGGATAATTTTTTGTTAACACATGTTCCCAATCAAACTAAATGACTTTCCAAACGTAACTGACATTTTAAACATACCTTTTTCATTACACAATTGAATCCATTAAACGAAATTTTTTTTTGAATCTTTATTTAAATTGTAATATCACTTGTGGATGACAAACTAACTAAATCTTCAAGTGAGAAGTTAACCTTTAATAGTTGTGAAATTAGCTCGCACATAATTCTGAAGACCACAAGTGTCTATTGCGCATTGGAACGATAATAGCACCTATTGATTCTTACATCAAATAGATTTTAATATGAATTTATGAAATCATTTAACCGTGAGAAGAGCGCATAAAGAGCAATTTAGAATCACATTGAGGGTTATTTAATCAATCAAAACTATTATTCAATTGCGATCACATTTTTATACTGATATAACTGCAGATTTAAGAATAGTATGAAGATAGTATAATTCGAGAACAACAAACCTTGGCTTCCATTTTAGAAACTCGAACAGCACGATCATCCCGTAATTCATAGAAGAAATCCTCCCTATCAACATCATCTAACTCTGCCATGACATCGAATTCTGGGTCATCATCATCTTCATCGTCATTAACATCATCGTCTACAGGCCTTGATGTTGACGGTGATATTATCGTTTTAGAATGATGTAAATCAGAATACTGTTCATTGGACGATGATGGTCTATTATTATTGTTTGGTTCATCATCTACGAGTCTTTCACAGATTGAAGATGCTTTGAGTGAAGCATTTATTTTTGGATTTGACTAAAAAGTAGTGAAAAATTTAAGTTACGCAATATTTAAAACATAAATTTTGTAAAGTGAATAAAGGCCTTAGTGTCTAACGCCGGAACAATGATTGCTAGTCAACTCTAAAACATGATTGATTAATTAATATGTTCATCAAGAAAAGACAAACACAAGTTACAGTTAAATCTAAAAATAAATGGTACCTTACGCATATCAATATGACTAACTTGACAGTTTTACAGTGACAAGTTATTTTCATCAGTACATAAAAAATGCTTCCAGAGTTTTCAGATTTTTAGTGGTGGATTGAACTAGGATCAGTTAATGATTTGAAAAGTTTATATCAACATTCATAATCTATGATTGATTGAGTTGAAGATATTTAACTTCAATTACAAAAATCGTATGCTTTATACGGAAGCCGTATGTTGAGTTTCAACGATGACTGAACTATATACCACTAAGAAATACTGCCAAAACCACACGAAATGAAAGAAACCTTGAAATGATATTAAGGACAAGTTAGTAAGTCAGCTACAAAACAGAGCTTCGTACATACGAACATTGGTTCAAGTTGCCACACCACATTTGGACAGAGAAATTGAATTGTCAATTAAAATGACATAGCGGTAGAGAGAGTAGAAGTATTGGCGGAAATGGAGAAGATTAGAGTTCGAAGATATCAATGACAGACACTGCCATAGAATATCTGGTCTACACATCCATGTCCACGTCTGAACCCAACCTGGTTTTCCAGAATCTGCTGTTCACGAGTCCTAGTTCGACGTCGAATTATTATTGAAGCTAATCATTTAGACACTATATTAGTCAAATTGATTACTCTGTAATTGTCAAAAGAGGAATTTTGTTCTTTCTTACAGACTGACTCAATCAGTAATTAAGACCAGTCAGATGGGATTACATCCAGTCCACAGATTCCAAATACGATCTCAGTCAATCTAACTGCAAAACCTTGAACACCATCCTTAAAAGCTCAAGGCCTAACCTATCAGGGCCCGCTGCTCTACCGCGCTTTAGAATGCCTATGGCCTTTCTAACCTCATTAAGAGTCGGGGGACTTACATCAACTCGCCATGCAAGTTGATTGGATTGAGAATAGATATTAGTTCCATCCTTTTCCGAGATAGTCCCATTAACACTCGTATTCCTAATACCGGTTTCCTTCATAGGTCTGAACAGTTGTCTACTGTTACCTATTGTCACTTCCCTTTCCATCTATCTCTCTTGCCTTTTCTGCCCAACACTGTTCGCGATCACTGTGCAGGCTTATCAGCCTGTGCTTAAGCTGTCTCCGCTTCTCATTATGTTCAGAGCCAAGTGGAATGAGTTTTCCGAGCATCGATCAGTTCAGTGGATACTAGTGATATCCACTGCTTCCGCCTAACCTGATGGTTTGCCTTACTGCGAGATATCGCTGTTGTTTCCACAGCGTTTTGAATGTCATTCCGAGCGGCCTCGGTGTGGGTGTCACTTACATGGCTTCCTAACTGTCTTTCCAGTTGTTCTCGAAATATACTCTTGGAATTCTTATAGTTGAGTAGAACTCTGAGGGGCTACCTTGCTGTCTTTTCCGCGTACAGTAAGACGCAGACAAATACGCGCTCGCACTAGAGCATGATCTGGATCTAAACGTGTGCTGTGGAACGAGCGACAGTCTACTATCGAACTTCTTTATCGGTGGCTGATAGCGATGTTGTCTAGTTGATTTCAGTGTTGGGTTGATTTTGGGGGTCGCCATGTCGAAAGATGTTTCTCCTTATGCTTCAAGTTAGTATTTGCCAGAAACAGGCCGTTATCTGAACGTAGTTGCAGCAGACAGTCGCCATTGTCTGTTCTTTGAATCGCGACAACATAGGATCGATCCAGACGTCTTTCCTTTTCGTTTAGTCTACCTACTAGAGCAATAAAGTCATCAGTCGCTGTTGCAACATCACAGCGCCTAACCTTTTGTAGGAGGTTGAAAAGCTTTCTGTAAAATTCATACTTTACCTCATCCGAGTTGCAGTCAGTGGAAACGTAGGCAGAGACAACGAAGAGGCAGAGGTGACTATCCCTAACTTTACAAGTTCTTACTGTTCCCTTTCCCGACCGAAGCTGCTACCTTGACGTGGTGGTCGGGCTTGCCTATCGTGATGACCCAACCGAGCTATACTGGCTGGAACACATGTTCCTGCAGGTCCTACCATGCCAGACAGGTCGATTGGAGAACGATGAGACTAAAAGCAGCTACCCAAGGTCTGAGGGCGAAGTCGTACTGCTGACTGCAGAGGGGTGTGACAGCAGTAAGGTGTTTACCTCGGACAACCAGCATCTGCAGCGATGCTGCCTTCTCACAAGGAAGGAAGGGTTAGAAAAGGTCGGCCCTAAAAATGTCACACCTCCCCTACCTCACGGATTTCCGTCTCCTTGGGTAAGGGTGCCCACTAAGGGCCTTTAAGAACGGAGCTAATCCTCAAAAAACATTTCATAAAAAGGCCGTGCGTGACCGGCCTCAAGCAGTTGTCCCTTGGACTCTGCGGTCACGCACCAACACTAATCCATCTTCCTTTTCAGGTTCGTCAAGAAACAACCTTCCACGGTGTGGGCAGCCGGGAAGTGATAACCGCCCTCATACCCGCAACAGTACACGAGACCAAATTGTTCAAAATCAAATCCTTCCTACATTCCCTAATACCTCTCTTATCTCCACAACTAACTCTTCTCACATTCAGTTATCACAGTGCACAGCTAATGCAGACGATACGAGTTTGCGAAACGTCGTTCCTGGTCTCCTTAAACCCCGTTCCAAACTACATGTTGGACATTGTGTCAAATAGGGCAACAGGCATCATTAGCTAGGACCTTAGAATCTCGTTCCACCGATGTGTGCTGCGTCTCGGAAACGCGCATACAGGATCCGAGTAGCATCACTCATTTGACCTCACCATGTCAAGATAAAGAAGCAGCTCGATTTACCCTTCGTGTATCCGGTAGCCCTGATGCTGCTTCTAGGGGCCTCGCCGGTGTAGGTATAGCATTGAGTCGTAGGGCAGAACAATCTCTCCTTGACTGGATCCCTGTAGATAGTCGCTTGTGCGCCGTCCGACTGAACGGGACAGTAAGGACTCGGAAAGATAGGGACACTCGCCGTTGCCTCTTCGTCATATCAGCCTACGCCCCCACTGACTGCAGCCCAGATGATGTAAAAGATGAGTTTTACAGAAAGCTTTCGGACCTCCTCCAAAAAGTTAAGCGCTCTGATATAGTTATAATGGCTGGTGACTTCAATGCACAAGTAGGTAGACTAAGTGAAAATGAAAGACACCTAGGTGGATGTTACGGTCTCGCGGCTCAAAGAACAGACAATGGCGACCGTCTGTTGCAACTGTGCTCAGATAACCGCCTATTTCTAGCAAACACTAATTTTAAGCATAGGGAAAAACACCTTTTGACCTGGCGACCCCCGAAGTCGTCTCAACGTTGGACACAACTAGATCATATCGCCATCAGCCACCGATGGAGGGGTTCGATAGAGGACTGTCGCTCGTTCTGGGGCACATGTTTAGATTCAGATCATGCCCTAGTGCGAGCACGTATGTGTTTGAGGCTTGCTGGACGTAGGAAAGACGCCGTAAGGAAGCCTCTTAGGGCTTTACTTGATGATAATCAAGCTAAGAAAATATTTCAGGAGGAACTAGAAAAACAGTTAGGCGGCCATGCAAGTGATTCCCATCCAGAAGCAGGTTGGAATGATATAAAGAAGGCTGTGGAAACAGCAATGGTATCTGCTAGCAAGGTAAACCACAAGGCTAGGATGAAGCAGTGGATTTCAGTCGCATCCACCGAACTGATGGATGCTCGAAAACGCATCCCACCTGACTCTGAACATGATGAAGAGTGTAGTCAGCTTAGGCGCAGACTTATAAAAAGCCTACGTAACGACCGTGAACAGTGGTGGGTGGCGAAAGCAAAAGCGATGGAAAAGGCAGCGGCGATAGGCAACACTAGACGACTTTTCCGCCTTATCAAAGAAACCGGTATTAGGAACCCGAATGTAAGTGAGACTATCTCGGAAAAGGATGGTCTTATTATCCATTCTCAATCCAGAAGACTGGATCGATGGGCAGAACACTTTAGGGATCAGTTCAACTGGCCTTCAGCCACTCTTCGGTTGCCCACGATCTCCAGTCATCCTGAATGGCAAATCGATTTAAGTCCTCCCAGTTTACATGAAGTTGAGAAAGCTATAGGAAATCTAAGGAGAGGTAGAGCGGCAGGTCCCGATAGGCTTACCCCTGAGATGTTTAAGGATGGTGGTCCAGTTTCAACGGTTAGACTGACCGAGATCTTAGGTAGAATCTGGGAAATGGACGTAATCCCATCTGACTGGTCTCAGTCGTTAATTGTCCCAATCTACAAGAAAGGACAGAAGTCCTCTTGTGACAATCACAGGGGAATAAGTTTAACTAATATAGTTTCTAAATTGTTAGCCTCGATTATACTTAGACGTCTAACTAGAGCTCGCGAAGAGCAGACTCGAGAAAACCAGGCTGGTTTTCGACCTGGACGTGGTTGTATAGACCACATCTTCACACTACGACAGGTCCTGGAACACAGACACACATTTAGACGTCCGACAATAGTCGTGTTCCTGGACCTTAAGGCGGCATTTGACTCTTTTGATCGTGAGGTTCTGTGGCAGTGTCTGTCATTGAAAGGTGTACCAAAGAAGTACATTAACCTTATACAAGCACTCTACTCGAACAACACTGGTCGGGTGAGAGCATATGGCAAACTGTCATCTGAATTCTCTACATCAAGTGGTGTCCGTCAGGGCTGTCCACTCTCTCCATTCTTGTTTAACTTTGTCGTAGACATCCTCTTAGAGTTAACATTAAGCTCGTCAGATTTTTCAGGGGTTGACCTTCTACCAGGAAAGTCGCTTACTGATCTAGAATATGCCGATGACATAGTTCTATTCGGTGAAGACGCTGACAAAATGCAGAGTCTTCTGACTACCATAAGCAACAATGCGAGCATGTTCGGGATGCGGTTTTCCCCCTCGAAATGCAAAATGTTGCTTCAAGACTGGGTTGCATTGGCACCTGAACTAGTGATAGGAAGTGAAGTAGTCGAGCGTGTTGATCACTTCACTTATCTGGGGAGTCTCATCAGTGCTGACGGTCTGGTGACTGACGAAATCTCAGCAAGGATACAGAAAGCTCGATTGGCTTTTGCCAACCTGCGTCACTTATGGCGTAGGCGTGATATCCGTTCGCTAACCAAAGGGCGGGTGTACTGCGCAGCAGTTCGTTCCGTTCTCTTATATGGCTGTGAAACATGGCCGTTAAGAGTAGAAGATGTTCGTAGGTTACTAGTATTCGATCATAGATGTTTAAGAAGCATTGCTCGTATATCGTGGGACAGCCGAGTAAGCAATGCTGTCGTTAGGAAACGAGTACTAGGTAAGGATGGCAGATCAATAGATGAAGTGGTGAAACTTCATCAGTTGAGGTGGTTGGGACATGTGTTACGTATGCCTAACCACCGACTGCCTCAACGAGCTATGTTTTGTGGCGTATTAGTAAGTTGGAAGAAAGCTAGGGGCGGCCAGACCAAAACATGGCACAAATCCATGAAGTCACTGACAAGTGGACTGAATCATGTTGGTAGATGTAGACTACCTGGTTGGGGTCCGCGAGACGAAAGTCATCAATGGTTAGAGACCTTGAACGACATGGCTCAAAATCGTTTGCAATGGCGCAGGTGCATCCACTCTTTGAGCTTTCTCAAATCCTAATGTTCTGGATTAGCCAGCACCTCTACCTTTGTCTTTCTAACCTTATCTCACTGAATTATATTTTTTGAATAATATCTTAAACCCTAGTCTTCTTTATTATAACATTAATACCTCTACCATCTTTATCACTATGGGATTTGATTTGACATTTGCGTCTCTGTTCTAATAATGTGGTATGGCAACATGAACTTATGTACATACGTACGAAGTTCTACGTTGCAACTGACTGACTGACTGACTGACTGACTGTTCCCTTTAATCAGACAGCGCACAAACGACTGTCTACTGAGATCCAGTCTAAGAGAGCTAATTCTGCCCTAGGACTCCAATCGACCTGTCTGGCACGGTAGAACCTACAGGAACATATGTTCCAGCCAATATAGCTCTGTTGGATCATCATGATAGGCAAGCCCGACTACCACGTCAATCTAGCAGCTACGGTCGGACTTACCCCTGATCGAACACAGGCCGCTGACTACCATTCGCCAACCACCTCTGTCCTGAAATCCCCTTTCCAGTTCTAACTGATCGACATTCATTATTTTTATGTCTGTCTCCAATTCTAAGCTCAGTGTTCCTTTGTCTACCCATTTCTCTTTGGCCTTTAGTGTTTCGAGTGAGGGATTGTCTTGTGATGCAGTTGGGTGCGTGCCTCAATCTGTGTTCTATCCACATCCAGCAACTTTTCCAAATTCATTTCTCGTCTGGAATCTGGTTTTTTCTCTCCCACAATCTGTTGTTTCTGATGGTATCTGGCCGACGGGTGAGGAGTGTCTGGCGTAAACAGCTGTTAATAATCACCTGTATCTTTCGGATGATGGCTTTTGTAGTTCTCCAGGTTTCCACTTCATACAATATAAAGGTATTGATGTTCGTATTGGAGGTGGTGACTCTGGTGTCAGTTGACAAATTTTTTGAGCGCCAGTTGTTCTCGTAGAAATACTGCTGTTGATTTGTCGTTTGGTATCTTTACGTCTGTACCAGATCCACCTTGATTATCAACAATGCTGCCCAGATATGTAAAGGTTTCTACATCTTCTAAAGCTTCCCCGTGAATTGTGATTTGTTTGGTGCATGTTGTGTTGAATCGGAAGATCTTGCTTTTTCCCTTGTGCATGTTGAGACCTTCTGCAGCACAAGTTGATGCTACACTGATTGTCTTCTCCTGTGTTTGTTGTTGTGTGGGATATGAGTGCTTGGTTATCTGCGATGTCCAGATCGTCCGGCCGTACCCGAGATGTCCAGTGTATTCCGTGTTTCTTTTGAGATGTCGACGTCTTCATAATTCAGTCGACCATCAAAGTTAAGAGAAAGGGTGGAAGTAAGCAACCTTGTTTGACTTGGTTTTTCACTTGGCTATCCTCCATGCATGATTTCGCAGTTTAACCTATCATAAGAACTCTGTATGATGTTGACTGTGTTCTCTGGCATACCGTAGTGTCGAAGAAACCTGCACAGTGTGATCCTGTCCACGCTATTGCATTTAGTGATGTTGAAGCAAACAGTTTACTTGGAAAATCAGAATACGTCTTTGATAGTAGAATATCCTTACCACAAAATCAATAATGCTCTTAAAATCCCGGTTATCGTAGGACAGGATGGCCTACAAACTAATTCTAATGATGGTAGGGAAATCGTAACACAATAATTATCAGAAAACAGAGGTATTAGAAGGATTTAATGATGAGCAACTTGGTTTTCATGTGAGGTTATGTGTAGGAGGCGAGATGTCACTTTCCGGCTTCCTACGGCGTCGAATGGTATTTCTTGAGCCTGAAATGGAAATTTGATTAGCGTTTGTCTTAACGACCTGAGAGCGTGACCGCAGAGCCTTAGCTGGATCAATACCCTAGATATTTTGTTTCATGACTGTTTAGTTATTTAAGTCATGAATGACCGTTTTCAAAAGGTCCGAGTACTTGTGTGAATAGACATGATTTGATAAAGATACCATATTGGATCACCTTGATTTAGATAGTCACAACCACACATAACAAATAAAATACATTGTAGAAAGTACAAAGATGTGAAAAAAACTGCACAAAGAAACTACAAAACATAAAAAAACTTATAGCATACTTTGTTAGGCGTGCAATTTGCTGAGTTACAAGCGGAAGTAAACAGCGAACGAAGAAATTGCGTATAAACATCGTTATCCGGATCTTCAATATCTACATCTTTATTTGCTATTGGATTGAGACTTTTACTTGTTGTATCCTCTGCTACATTCATTTCTCCATATTCTTCTTCTTCCTTACAGTCTTCCATATCAGGATAACAACGAGAACTACTGAGAGGCATAGGGTTAACAACATTATCTAGCTGCAATGATATGCTGGAGTTAGAATTTCTAAGCTCTTCACAATAAATATAATTCTTCATTTCAGATAAACTGCTGAATGATTTAGCTTGTGAACGAGTGAAATGAGAAGTTTGTAAATCTGAACTATCATCATTTCCATAGTAAATAAAACTATCTACATTGTTAGCTTGAATTTTGTCAACACATGAGTCAAGATCTATCTGTGAATCGCTTTCAGTGCTACTTCTACTATCATTGTGACTGCTTTCATTTTCCACGTCTTTAACAAAGAAATTATGTTTGGAAGCCTCAGTAAAATCGAGCACTTGATCACGTAATAAAAGTTTGTAATCTCTGTCGTTCGGTTGGTAATCACTATCGGCCAATGAAGCATCCAAGTCAGTACCTACACTTTTTTCAATGTTGTCGTTTTCGTCAGGGAATTCCATATCAAGAATGGTGCATGGTGTTTTTGTTTCTGGTCTGACAGAATATGGAAGTTGGTTTTGCAACGACTCTTCAATACGACGAGTAAGTGATCTGAGAAAAATTTTCAAAATAAATCGATAAATAAAACCAGTAAAATCATAGAAATTTAAGCGATCATTAGTAGAGCTTAATATCGAATTTCCAGTTAACTGTTTCAAATACACCTCCTTCTGTTAGCATAGGAGTATTTTAGTTTAAAGCAGCAAAGACAAACGAAAAACTATAATGATAATACTCACTAGACAAAATGTTCGGTGTGTAACTGGCAATTCTAATCGCTGGAGACTTCTCTTTTACAGTTACAGGTGAAAACACTGGCATTTATTACGATGTAAATAAAGTTGTTTGAACAACGTGTTGTAAGGACATCAAACTAGTATGATAAAAACTACATTGGATACTTAACAAGGTGAAGAGTACTGCATTTACTCGTATAGGCTTTGTAGGAAAAGAAAAGTCAAAACAAAATATAAATTAAGTTATACATTTCAACACTGTTAGGCAGTTCACACAGTATATGTAGTTTAAGGAGACAAGTGATATCCATGACGTTTGAAAAACTAACATACTATAGCGCTTATTTTGTAGAGATACCGAGTAGACAATCGTATGAATAGATTAATTTAAGTTGTAAATAAGTGCATTACTGTAACCAACAAGTTAACCCCCACTCCCCGAAGTCTAACTAGAGCTCGTAAAGGCGAATTCGAGAATTAGTGACCATAGGTTGAGCATATCGATCGCTTAACTTATCTTCGGAGTCCCTCAGTCCTGATGGTTTAGTGTTCAACGAAATCTCAGAACAGATAGAGAGCTTGACTAGCTTTGGAAAACTCGCGTAACTTATGGAGTAGGCGAGATATCCATCTACTGACCAAGGGACCAGTTTATTCTACAGCTGTTCCTTACATTCTACTTTATGCAATATAAACACGGCCAGTAAGAATAGAAGATATTCACAGATTACTAGTATTCGATCATAAATGTCTTCGAGGAAACGCTCGTGTATTCTGGGATCACCAAGTGAGCAATGTTGATGTTAAGAGACCGGGTACTAGGCAAGATGAAGAAATGAATCTACGTCTATTGAGATGGTTCGGACAAGTGTAGCTCATGCCTAACAACCACCTACGTCGACAAACGATGTTATTTGATACAGAAGTAGGTTGGAAAAAGGATACAAAAGGATAAATAACCAACAAATAGCACTAATCAATTATGTCATTCAATAATGGACTGAACCATGTTAATAGGTGTAGACTACTTTTTAGAGTCCACGTGATAATCAAAACCGGTAGTTAGAGACTAAGAGTGACATGGTTATTGTTACTACATCTCGGACTTCACGCTTTGGCCTGACGATTTCATTTCTGTGCGCTAATGGGATAAGGCAACTTGAATCGATATGCGCATGTACCCAGTCTTATGCAGCAACTGATCGAGTGACCGACGGAGAATCTTTTGAATCATGGAAGAGGAGGAATTACCCACTCAAAGGTAATTAAAATAAGGCTAATGTTAACGAAATTTAAAAGCCGTGTGAGGTGGCGTACGAATTGTTAGTAGCAACATCAGTTCCAATTTATGAACTAAATTTATCCAACGGATAAAGGTATTTATCATACAAAGTATAATATCTGATCCATATCATTATTGAAGTTAATAAGTGATAGAAAAAGATAAATGAGTTTATGCTATTTTAAAAGCTGCGGAAGTGTATTAACTCGAAACCTAAAGAAAATGCCTTAAAATTCTAATTATCCTACAGTGATGTTAGATATTTAAATAGCAGTTGAAAACTTAATTACACAGGTCAGCAGACTACCTTCACCGTTTTAACTAATCGCAAGTAACGAAAAGTAATATCCGGTATGGAACTCGCTAAAAGTATCTGTATGGGACGTAACTACCACATGTAAACCGGTATTTTAAGGTAGTGAAACTTAGTGAATCACCAACCACACTATGCTTTAATACACAATGGGGTACCCTCGACAACACCCAGTGTCACCATAGCAAGTAAGAATTCGTTTCAGGACAATTATCATACAACAGTCGTGGAATATTCTCAGAAAAAACTCCAATTCACAAGCGTGATGGGATGCAGGTCCAGACTCCTGTCAGTTTTGTGAAAGTACTTTACACGTTCATAATGTGAAGTAAATCACATGGCTATAGAAGCTGATTGCCAAATGGTTAAATATTTATGTCATTCCATAGGAAGATGATATCATCTGCATCCTCAAGGTCAAAAAGTTGTTCTGGTGACATACACCACCGAAAATGAGAAAGTGCTATTTAGCTAGCAACAGAATATTAGCAGCACCCACTAACTCGAAATTCAACAGTATTTAGTGATGTATTCGATCCGTTTGATAACTAAGACGTAATTCATCTTTCAAATGCTTTCGAAATGCTATTGATGATGGTGGTAAGACTGGGCAACTATGTAACCTCATTACTTGTGAGAAGCAATAAATTTGAATGAATATATTCTCTCACTCCGATTGGTGCGTTTTTTAAATGCATCCATTATCAATAATTTTAACAGACATTATCAGAGTACAGTCTCAACCAACTAATACAACAATCTTAGCTTGTATTGAAATACGAAAATTATAACATAAGTCGTCAACTAACTTACATCTGATATTATCGTACTACCAACGAGTTAACATAAAAGGTGTCAAAAAATTGTAAAACAGCATAAATTACCGAGTAATAGCTCTAGATTCCAAGTGGTAATCTGAATCTTCTCCAAGATCGTTGAGGATAGAAAATAACCCCAAAGATTTAGCACGTCTTCGAGTGGCTGCTGAAACCTCACCAGTTTCAGGCTCTCTGAATTCCCCGTCAATATATCGACGTAAAGCATTCACAACGTCTTCATTGGTCAGGACATCCTTTAACAACCTTTTAACTTGGCGTGTTGTCAGGTGTTGCACAGTAGTAATTTTTTCAAGTCTTTCAGCTAGTGAACATCCAAGTGATGCCTGTATTACATGAGTATGGTTTATAGAAATGAACAGTAATGAGAGGAAATCAATTCCAACTTTTTTGCGTACAAAAAACAATTACCAAGACTTAAAGTAAATGAGCCACTTAACTTACAAGTACGTTACAGGATAACTAAACAACATACTGTAGTTCAGACATATCTACTGCATTTACCACAGAAATTTCATCCATCGATTTGACGTATTTTCATAAAAGTGAGGACTAAGACAAACGTCTGGTATTTAAATTAGTATGGTGAAAATAAAGGGTCCATTTACGAATATATCTTGATTTTGGGATCGAAGAAGAACAAATTTACTCTTCGTCTGTTGATTCTGAGAGCTTTTTATGTGTGCCTGTCGATGGATATTATGGGATTACTGTCTAATCTAGAAAGTGGTGGTATTGTTTAAGATAATATTAATTGAATGGATCTCGAGATTGGTGTCTAATCAAAGTGAGAAGTAACAAGTAGCGACAATCATATCTGCTTCGGTGCCTTTTCCATCGTTTCAATGGATCCTTTGCCAGGTGTAAGGAAAGGTAAGAACTAACAACCGAACGGTCCTTGAAACTATTCGATACTATTGCCAGATACTAATCACTTCTCCAATCCCATTATGTCCTATTGACATGAAATAAAAAACTAGTTGAAATCACCGAAGTCGATGTTTTAGACGGACATTATTTAGATAATGACCTTCATAACGAACAAGCACAAAACAAAAGGCCTCGTCATTAATTCACTAATATTTTGATTGAATGCCATCAATCTTTAGTAAACAGTCAAAAATTATACTTAACTCGGATAGGCTGCATATGGACAAGAAATACTCACGCCAAAATGTTATTTATTCAGCATTACCGCTGCGTTATGAGAAGAAAAATTCATTTTACAATAGGATCACTAGTACTTTAACAGCTATACCGATGCACGAACTTTAAAAATGTTAACAATTCATTGGTAAGGGTAACTGCAAAGTTTACAACTATCAATGCTTTTATTACTTATTTTTGAAATAACATAGGATTACTTGTGAAAACATGGGTTATGCAGCAAATAGTTAATATCGGATTAAGCAATAAAATACACAATTATGTGCGACATACTTGCCAGCCACCAAGACTTTCATCTTCATCTAAAGACTCTCTAGTTTTAGCGACCTTTGGTGGGGGGTATAAATCATTTGATTTACCAGTTCTTTTCATGAAAAACTGGTATGAGTGAAATTATCAAACAGCAAGCAAAGTCTACTGACTAGGATGTGAAATCTATGACAGAAAAGATAAAAAGGAGGAAATACATTGAAATAAATAACATTCCAGTGTCACGGTAAAAATATTTTGCAAAGGTTTACGACAGCATAAAACAGTTTTGTTTATGTGACGTTAGACAAGCCCAATAACTATCAACATAGAGTGAAGAATACTGCAACATTTTCCATTGATAACAGTTCCAGTTACATAAAAGCATGGTACGATTTTAACTTTACTGTAAGTTCCACTTCATTTTGTTATACATTAGTATTTATATATGGAAGTAAAAGACAATTATGATGTGTGACGAAGATTTGATGTTAAGCTTTACTGCTCAATATCTGAAACCGTTTTTTATACACACAAAAACCATCTCACTTGAACGTATTGAGGCCTATTAGCGAAAAAGTTCGAATGACTAATTATTCCGTTCAAAATAATTATTTTTGGCGAACCATGGTAACATCTGTTTTGCCGAGACTTCGGATTATGACAACCATTTTTACTATTTGTAATGCCGATTTATGACTGGCATTTAATGATGCTAATATTATTGTGAACTAGCCCATCCATATACGTGATTGAAATTTCTGTACACGATTTCGAAATATTGCATACCTAAAACTACATAGAAGAGTTTTTCCCTCAAAAAAGGGATAACAGATAACTTTGACGGAGTGGACTATTTCACGTAAATTCCGGGACTCGAAAAAGATATTAAGAGAAAGCGTTCTACCACTTTACAGTAGCACTTTTCACTCCCTGTAAAAGCACTATTCTTAAAAGATGTCACTATTTCCATACTTTCGTTTTATACGGCTGACTGACTTTAACCGACAAATGAACTTAAAAAGACTCCTTCATTTTTGTTTCAAGAATACTGACGAATCAATGATATGAAAATAAGGAGACGATTTAGACTTTTTCCAGAGTAATTTCAAGACAAGCTTAATGACCATACACATAATCACAGAGGTTCGTTGATTCGATCCGAAGGTCAACTAGCTGTTTTAAGTTTCGGTAGAGGTTAACCAATATCCAATCTCTTTTGTACGAGCTTGTTTAAACCAATAGATTTCTTTGCGCTCGCTTCCTGTTCATTTGATACGGTTCCAGATATTTGGTAATATCCAATGGGTGGTAGTCTGAAGTGGATCAACTTTAATGGAGAGAACGCTATTGGTTTAATAGAAACATTTATTATTATAACCAATTGAACCAGTAATTGTTTCACTGTATTTTTTGTTTATTACACTTTGTGGGCGCAAACTACTTGTGTTGCTGCCATTTCGGCTCCACTGTCTTTGTAATTTCGCCTCTGTATTTTTAGGATTTCGGTATTCTGTCGATACCACGAAATCGCCAGCAAATATATTCATTAATGTTGATTTACTTATCTTCTCAGTGGCGGGCTCGTAATTAGTATTCAGTAACGGTCATAGTCAACCTCGACTTGATCTCCACTAAAAGTCTAACCACTCAACTGCACTAATTCTAGTCGGTTGGCAGTCATTTATGAAGTCTCATGACCCATGGTTTGAGTAAGTGCATTTGGCTCAGGGTTTAGGGATTCTGGATACCAGCAGCTATCATGTTATCAGGCCGGAGATGAGTCAGTTGCAGTGTGGAGAATAATAAGGAGAAAAGTCTAATGTTAATAAGAAGAAGATTTCAGAACTCAGTAAATAAATGGATAATTCGTTTACTAATTTGTAGTGAAGATTGTGAGAGAAGACCGAAGTGTGAGCAAGGGAGAGGAAACCGAGATAATAAGTTAGTGATCTGAGGAGATGGTAATACTAACAACTAGCAAGTCTCAAGACATGCTTCGGGCACAGCCGGTCCATGTGTGAGATGATAATCCATATTTGAGTACGTGCTTGTCAAGTCCCTTCTTGAAGCTACCCTATGATGGGGCTGTGATCGCCTTGACTGGGAGAGCATACCACGTAGAAACAATATTAATGAGAAGAAACAGACGCGTACCTAAGTGTTCTCTCCATGATGTGCGATTCTTCGAGGACTATCTTGACGTGCGTGATAGTGACCCATTTGCAAGATGCTCACGTTGGGATGATTCTGCGTGTATAATATGTTGTACACCGTAATCAGATCACCTTCGATTCTTCTGTAACTCAGGGGGAATAATCTCAAGTTCTGGGGTCTCTTTTCGTAAGGTCTATTTTTTAATCCTGTCACCCATTGAGTTACTCTTCTTTGCTGTCAATCCAGGAGATTTATACCTCTTTTAAATAGAGGGAGTGTAGAATCTATTTTAAAGGCTTTGTTTTCGGAAAATCCCTCCATGTATATATATTTGTGTTATGATCTGACTGACTCTTCTGTTCGATATTTTGGTACTTTATTTGATCCCATTTTGAGGTTTTATCAGAAATTCAAAATGATATAACTACGTCACAAGAGTCACGCCAGTTTACAGGCTAGATCAAATTGTCACAAATGCTTTCACAATTACTGTAAAGTTATAGTAGTTAAATTAAGTATAAGAGTCAGTTTGTGATTGCATATTTACACTATGTCACTGACAGAAACAGTATTATACAGCCACATTTTCAATAGTAGAGTACAAATAAGGAAGGAAGGTGCACAATAGGTTCTTTTGGCGATTTGCCGAGATCAATCGTGAATTTGTTGGGAAAGGTCATATGGAACGCGCTTGATACGAGCTGTGATCTAGACAGTCATGGACCTAGGGTGCATGTTCCCTAGAGTAGCCAAGGATTTCCCACCGTGAATGGGGTTCTGAAAAGGAGGAAAGATAGAGAAAAAGGCAGCAGTGTTATTATTTCTATATCTTGTACTTATATTGAAGTTTCTATGTTCCCTTCTGAACTATATATGTGTTGTTGAAAATTGATAATTAATATGACTACAGCCATATTTGGATTCGACACTCTAGCAGCAACTGACTGGAAGCACTTATTCTTGCAGTAGCGGAACCTATTGGGATGATTACAAACTCGAAGGTGTGATATTGTTTTGGTAATTGTCTGAAGTTCCTTTTTTGATTAAATATAGAAACGTTCTTTTCCGGAATTATCGTTTTTGGACTTGGACTGGGCGAGACGCGTGTGAACCTACACCTTTCGGTTTCAGAGCGGACTGCGAGAGTAATATATTTACTTACAGTTCAAAACAATATTTCTAGGAGGATCCTTTGGATTTCTTATCGTTTGCTATTTCAAAACAATATTCGGAAGAGGATCTTTTGGATATTTTACTGTCAACTTGTTCTTAACGATATTTGGAGAAAAATACTTTGGATATCTTATTGTCGACAATAATTGAAGACAAGGAACTGGCGAATATAATATCTGATCTTTATTGTTTCAATAATTTGGAGTTTTTTTTCGCTGAATCTCAACTGTTATAATGAGTTCTTGTAAGAAGCCAAACACACACAGGGATGGAGCCCATGAAGAATCACGGAATGACAAGCAAGCCCCTTATGATACTTCATGTTCGATAAGGATGATATTATGTTTAGTACTTATTGTCGTAAGCCATCGTTAGAGGGCGCTAAAGGACGTAGTTTGGACGAGAACTTGGAGGTACCTGGGAAAGATTTGATGTCTAAGACACCGGTAGTTGGCTTAGAATTGCCAAAGATTGAACTCAGTTACTTCGACGGCCGACACCGTGATTACTTTAGGTTCATTAGACAGTTCGAAACGTTTAAAGAACCTAGAGTTATTGATGACAATCTGCGCCTATTATATTTAATTCATTACTGTAAGGGGAAGGCGAGAGTTGTGATTGAAGGGTGTCTTATTATGGAACGTCAGGCAGGATATAAAAGAGCTAAGGATATTCTAAAACAGCTTTTCGGACAATCGCATGTAATCGCTCGTGAAACATTGGAAGAATTGTTTAGGTCTGGGAATGCTGATTACAACGACGCAGAGCAGTTATCGAATTTAGTAATTAAGATGAAAAACGTAGCTATGACTTTGGAACAGTTGAATTGTACTGCTGAATTAAATTCCTTGGTAACTTTGGAAAGGATAGTTAGGCTTCTACCTCATCGTATGCAAGTCCAGTGGGCAGAGCTGGAAATTAAATGGGACGAAGAGGATAGAGAGCCTACATTAATTGAAATGACTGTATTTATTTCATCCCGTGCAAGGATAGCTAGTCGTAGATTTGGACGATTAGCTAATCGCCTAAAAACAGGACATGATATGAAAGTGATTAGTCATCTGCGTGCGGGACATGGGAATCCTTCGAATGTGTTTGCACCTGTAGAATTCTTTTTGAATGTTTTGTGTTTTGGAAAATCCCTCCATGTTACATATTTTTGCTGTGACATGATGGACTTTTTCTCTTGACATTTTTGGTATTTTATTTGATTCCAATTTGAGATTTTATCATTGTATATTGTTATTCTTTCTATATTTGTACTTATATTGAAGTTTTTGGGTTTGCTTCTGAATTGTACATATATTGTTTAAATTTGATATAATATGGCTACCGCCACATTTTTGGATAGACGCGGTGGCTGCTGGACTTAGTGTCACTTACTAGCTATTGTAATAGATACTCTACGGAGTAATTTAGTCCTGGAAGAAACAAAAACATCGTAAGCCTCTGTATTTCCATTTTATAACAATATAGAGACGTTTTCTCCTAGAATTTTTGGCCTTTTGATTTGGCTGGGACCTGGATCTAGGAGTATCGTACCGGTGTGTTTCTATTGGACGCGATTAGGACAGCCGCCGGCGAAATAAATTCTACAGTCTGATGTTTGCTCTTCTTGCGTGAATTATACTTGGAAATATCCGTCGGGACGCATATAATTTGGATCTATTTGGATTATTAAGAATTACAAGGAAACATTTGGAATTTTAATCGTTTATCATACTAGACTTCCTTGGGGGATGAAGTTGGAACTACGTATCATTAATTTTGAACTGAATTTTGGATTTATTCTATTTTGTATCGTTACCGTCTTTATTGCACTTTATTTATGATGTCAAACCGAAAAAAATCACACGTGAGGAGGGTGGAAGAGCTCGACGGATCACAGGGCTCTAGGCAAGTCGTTGATGATAACCTTTTTATGGGTAACCCACATGTTATGTCTGATATTTATTATTGTAAGTCATCGATAGAGGGTTTAGAATTACCTAAGGTTGAACTCTCATATTTTGATGGAAGGTCTCGCGACTATTTTAAGTTCATACGACAAATAGAATCGTTTATAGAACCTCGAATCTAGGATGATCAAGTGCGTTTATTGTATTTAATTCATTATTGTAAGGGAAAGGCTAAAAATGCGATCGAAGGCTGTCTTATAATGGACCCACAGGCAGGATATAAGAGAGCTAAGGTTATTTTAAAACAGCTTTTTGGGCAGTCACATGTGATAGCGCGAGAAACCTTAGAGGACTTATTTAGAACTGGGAATGTCGAATTTAATGATCCTAAATCATTGACGAACTTGGCCATTAAAATGCAGAATGCTTCTTTAACTTTAGAACAGTTAAATTGTACAGCTGAACTTAACTCTATGGCTACTTTAGAACGAATAGTAAGGCTCTTACCTCGTCGAATGCAAGCCCAGTGGGCAGAGCTAGTATTCAAGTGGGACGAAGAGGAGAGAGAGCCCAATTTTAACGAATTGACGGAATTTATTATGTCTCGTGCTAAGATAGCTAGTAGTAGGTTTGGAAGATTAGCTTATCAGGCTAAAACAGGAAATAATACGGAAGCTACTAGTGGTCTGCGTGCGAGACATTCGGATTCTTCGTTTCTACCTAAAGCACGCTCGGAAGATAAGAGATTTGTCAATTATATCACGAAAGCATACCCTGATGAAGGACGAGTATGTGACCGTAACGATGTAAAGCCTATTGATGCGTGTCCTAGCAAGAAGCCGGTTGGTGTAACAGATAAGATGGCTTTTCTAAGTGTAGAAAAGAAAGAAAAAGGCGAAAAGTGTAGGCATCAAGATGGATCCGAAGTGTGTG